TCCTCGCTCTCTCTCGCGCGGCTGGGTCGTGGCGGTCGGCCCCCCGCCCCCCCCCCCCCCCCCGCCGGCCGCGCCGCCCCCCCCCCCCCCCCCTCCATCCCACACCATCCACACACCTTGTCTACTTTGTATCTAATCCTAATCCCTAATCCCCTCCACGTCCGCATGTCAAGAGAGAGAGGAGAGAGAGGATTCCCAGTGCCTATTCTTCTTCTCCCCCCCCTTTCCTGTGCTCCGAACTTAATCAACCTTTAGCATTCTGTGGGTTTAGTGAACTAGATTGAATTGATGTTTCCCAATTGACTTGGGCACATCTTCAATCATTTCATCCCATCTAATTTTCTTCTTCTTTTTTTTATTCACCCAAAGTACTGCACTGTACTGTATTCTTCCCTCCCCCCTAACCAGATTGTTCTTCCTAGTTCCTTAATTCTTCCTTTTCCTCCCCCCCCCCCAATCCGATCCAATCCTGTTCGCCGTAAGGCCCGTGTGGGTTGGTGACATACGGTGGCATCTAAGTGGGCTAGTTTCACCGGTCCTACTCCTTGTGTCTCGCCTGTCTCGCCTTGTGTGGCTCGCTACATACTAATTGTTCAACACCCTGAACTTTTCCTCGCGTCTCGCAACTACGCAACTACATACTACATACCAAATCTTCATTACTCGCATCACACCCAGTGCACAAAAGTAGCGCCCTACAAGGCTTCGTTACCTGTTGCTCGGGTCCGCTCTTTTCCCGCTCTTTTTCTATCTTTTCACTTCTACACCATAACCTCCCATCGCTACTATCCCGCTCGATTTCGTCAGACTGACCGGCCGACTTACCACCTCGACCGCCGATTCCTTCCAAGTCCCTAAGCCACTTCGAAAGCCTACCCAGTTATCCTATTCGGCGGCGTCAAACTTATATCCTCCCATATACCAATCTAATCGGCCACTCCATTTTATACACTGGTCGAATTCTTGGTTCTGTATTATTTTAGAATATCCAACGAATTTGTCGCCTTCAAACTTGCTAGACGATAGCTTCGATGTTACGATAGGTCTCGTCTCAATCGCCTTCATGACGCACCGAACCTAAACCATATACACCCCCCTTATTTAACAGCCAAGGAAGTCTATTCGGGCACCTATTGGCTTGGGCTATACTCGCCTAGGAAGAAAATCGGTTTGGTTATTTCCAATTTTTGGCAGACATGATGGAGGAATATACGGATAGTCCCTTGGAGAGCGATGATGTCTTTCCCTGTAAGGGTTGTGGAGAGGTAAGAAGATATCTCGTCTGCTATGATTGGGAGACGTCGTTGCTAAGCTACGCTTCTGATTAGATCCTCGAAGAGGGCAAAGCATTTGAACTAGGTAGGTTCAACGCTATTCTTTTTCCAATTTTATTATCATTAATAAAAGAATAAATTCTTTTATTGGAAGCGCAACCATTCTGACTTGGCTATAGCGGGGAACCGATGGCATCTTAACTGCTTTCGATGTAATACCTGCGGCACCCTTCTCGATTCCGATGCGAACCTCCTATTGTTAGGCGATGGTTCTCTCATATGCAATAACTGTACATACAGCTGCAGTGCTTGCGGCGACAAAATCGAGGACCTTGCGATATTAACCGGGGACCAAGCTTTCTGCGCCGCCTGTTTCCGATGCAGGAATTGCAAGAGGAAGATCGAAAACTTGCGATATGCTAGAACCTCGCAGGGAATCTTTTGCATGAATTGCCACGAATCTCTAATGGCAAGGCGTAGGAAGAAATCCAAAGCTGCCGCCCAAGCAAAGGCACGGGAAAAAGATGCATCGCCCATGATTATGGAAAAGTCCCTCCCGGCTCTTCCACCGAACGCTATACCGCCGAATGCCTTTTCAAACGATAGGGTCGATCCTGAGTCCGATACTCCAACGGAACTTTCCCCGCGACCACGACCGGCATATCCCCGCAACGACTCGTCGAGAAGCAGTTCGAGACCCGATAGATCGCCCGACCGATCTGGCGATCATTCCGGAAGAGACAACGGCCTACCCCTCCCTTCCCAAAGCTATCGCAATAACCGAAACTCGTCTATCTTCTCAGGTGGTGATATTACCGGCAACAACGGCGGTGACGATCAAAGTTTCTTCATTCCAGTTGCCTTAGATCCGAGCCCAGTACCGTCCGTTACGCCTAGATCTACGTCAGAGGCTCTCACCGACTCGAACAAGAAAACCAAAGAAAAGGATTACTTTAGTCTTTCGAAGCCAACTGCTGGGCCGGAGCGGAGGGATACCTCACAGTCATCCACGCCCCATATTGCTTTCCAGGAGAAAGGAAGACAACCGTCATTTGACCACGAGAACCCACCTCCTAGAGATTTAGGCCGAAAGCTTTCTAAATCGTCTAAGGGCGATAAGAGTGCGACAACAAAATCGTCACCTACGTCAGCAGACGATCGGTCTTCGAGATTGGCGAATGGAAGATCTCATCCCTCGGATGACTTCAAATTGCAGGAAGCGCCAAAGAGCAAGAAGTTGAACACTCGTACGGGTTCCCAATCAAATGCGGTCCCAGACTCTACCGTCTCTAGAGGCAGCAGCAACTCTAGTCGAAAGGACAAAGATGGATTTTCTAGTGATTCTCCCCAACATTTACACGCGGGCGACAAGACAAGCACTCCACGTAGCTCGCAAGAGTCTCGACTCAAAGATGACGATGAAGTGCGGTCCAACGATTCCATGGCTACCTCTGTTAGTAACAACATAACGCCCATTACGCGAAAGGAGCTCCCAGCTTCGGCTTTGAGGAACGGTTAGTACATGCATAAATTATCAGTATTCTTCATAGACTAACAATCGTTATAGTGAATGGTAGCGCGTCTCGACCTACTGCAAACGAGCAGAAAACCAACGATCAATATATGACTCCAAGAGCACCGCCTGCCCCGCCTACGTCAGCAGCTGGTCAGGAGTCAGCAAACGCGACAGGTGAAACTAAGGCGTCGCCCAAACTACCCAGATGGAGTGCAGGTGGTGACTTCAGTATGGATGAAGACATGGCCCGTATTCTAGGGACGGATGAAGGTTCCTCTTCTATCCTCCGTCGGGTTTCAAACGCTGTGCGCCATGGACGAACAAACAGCACTGAATCAAGTAACAACCTTCCTCGTGTCGGTCATACCCGGAGTGCTAGTGAAACAACCCGTAGTACGACCACATCGCCGCGTTGGCCGAAGACTCCTATCGCAGAAGACGCCGTTAACGGTACAGGTCACGATATCAGCAGCCCCCTATCGATCAATTCGAACGACGATCCAGTTCTATTGAGAAGACGTCTGCGAAACTCCGAGCAAAGAGTCGCAGAATTAGAACGCCAGTTCAATAACGAGAAGGACCTAAAGAACCTTACGCAGAAGCTAGAGGAGAAGCGAAAGACGGTGTCTGTACTTGATACACAAACTGAAATCATGATACGTCAGTTGGAAGCGCTGGCAGGATACGTGGAGAGGGCCAAGGAGACTAAGAGGCCTATCGACCCCCGCGAACTCGAGGACTCTGCGTTGAAGGACTTTGTCCAGAGACTTGAAAAACTCAAGCAATCCATGTCGGCCAGTCTTGAGCAGCTTCATGCTGAGCGGGACGAACTTTTGGAGGAAAAGAATAAGGCGATTGCAGAAAGGGATCGTGCTCGAGTGGAATTCGAACAACTGGTCTCTAAGAACGCACAGTTGGCCGACTTGAACAACGACCTTACCAACCAGATACAGGAACGATTCAAGAATCATTCGGACCCCAAGTCCCCTCCTAACGGACTTGGAATTTACAACTCACACAAGGGCGCATCGAACAATTCGATAAGTTTGGATAGTTCCAGCATCCAAACCGGTACAACCGTCATTGCTGTCGATCAAGAAGAGCCAATTCTTGAAGCTGGGCCTACCGTGGTCAAGATAGGAAAGGGCCAGGTTAAAAAATTCAACTGGAAGAAGGGCTCGAAAGCCATGGCTCAGAACATCGCGAAGGGTGTGAACCGCACAGTTGTAGCCTTCCAACAGCCAGAACGCGAGCGCCACCAGCCAGGTATGGCGGGTGAGAGCATCGGTCTCCCCTATAACATGACAGTCGTACCTGTTGAATCGCCAGTCTCGCACACTCCTGTTAATGGTCAAAATCGCCAACCCGGAGATGCTAGTCGACAAGGCTTCTTTGGGTTCAAGAAGGCCAATACGATGCCAAAGGGTATGGCAATGTCAAATATGTCTATTCCGGCTATTGCGGAAGCCCCTTCGGTACTATTCGGGTCCGAGCTGGCGGATAGGGCCGATTATGAGCGCCGCCAAATCCCCTGCGTCGTTACCCGCTGTATCGAAGAGGTCGAGCTGAGGGGTATGGATATGGAAGGCATATACCGCAAGACTGGTGGAAACTCTCAAACCAAAGCCATTCAAGAAGGGTTCGATAAGAACGAAAACTTCGATATTTCCGACCCCGATATCGACATCACTGCTGTGACGAGTGTTCTGAAGCAGTACTTTAGAAAACTTCCAACACCGCTGTTAACATTTGATGTTTATGACCGCATCCTCGAGACGAATTGTAAGTGCCTCTACAATGTACCCATCATATATATCGAATTTTGACTAACCAAACCAGCAATTCAAACTGATGAGGAAAAGTGCACACACCTGCAAAGTGTATTCAAGCAGCTGCCGTCTCAACACAAGGATTGTCTCGAATTTTTGATGTTCCATCTCCACCGCGTTGCCTCCCGAGAGCGCGAGAACCTCGTAAGTTATTACATCTCATGCTATTAGAGTACATCTAGCTAATGGCCAAATAGATGACCCCGAAGAATCTCGCTGTGGTCTTTGCTCCGACCATTATGAGGGACCACAACATCGAGCGAGAGATGACCGACATGCACGCCAAGAACCTTGCTGTGCAATTTATTATTGAGAACACGCACAACATTTTCATATAGTTTCGGCTGGTTTTCCGGCTATTGACCTATTGACCTCACCACTCGAACCCTGTACATACTAGACGAAAGAGAAGTGTGATTCGTCAATTTTACAAAGAACTACATCGAAGTCAACAGCATTCAAGTTTCAGCCCGGAGTTCATTCCCCTTACCAAAGATCACGACCATACCATATGGCTGGTTTAGAATTGTCACGTGCACAAACCTGACTATTCTGGACCTACTATTGGATTTTTATTTCAACTTTTCCATTCGAGGAGGTGTCCCGGCGGCGATGTTTCATCTGTCTTTACGGTAGGAAATTTAATGATATCCTTGAGAGCATTGCGACTTTTTTTTTCTCCTTGTTTTTTTTTCTTCTCTTGCAGGGGGTTTTCTTGCTATTCTCCATCTAGGGGGGTAGTAGTGGTTGATGTACCTCTTAAAGTCATGAAGTAGCTTTCTTTATGAAGTTGGGAGAGAAGGAAAAGAGAGAAGAAATGAAACATGGTCACTGTAGTGCTTAGATACATAAAATATCGAAGTACATGGAAGAGTAAGCGGGAGAGCATGAGAAGGGGAGGGAGAAAGAGGTTTTGAAACTTAAGGGGATGGTCATATCCCCTAGGATCACGTTCTTGGTGTACCCTAGAGTAGTCTACCAAGTGTGGCTCGATGAGGTGTTGAGAGATGCAAGGACAGATTCGACGAATAGAGATCCGAGTTTTGATCTCCTAAAGTTGTTGGTTCAACATGATATATGTGATTAATCTATCCGTGCATCCACGTAGTCCTCCGCGTAGCCTATTAGATGTGATATCAACATATAAGGATTGTTATTTTCTTATTTTCCAAGTTTTGAGGTCTTGTTCTTAAAAAAGATATAGGTAAAAACGACAGCAGTCTAAAACACACATTCTAAGCTTAATAATAAGTTAGGTAAAACTTGCAACATTTTCGGCGCGATACTTCGTTCAATAATTAAATCCTTCTACACTTTTTCTCGGAATGTCTTACAGGAATTTTGAAATAGGGCTGATAGGATGGTCGGTCCCCTCTTCCGAATATTTTCTTAAACGAGACGGATCGCCTTTCCTATGGCGAAATCAGTGCCAAAAGGAAAGGGTTTGGGGGCGGAGATGTTGGTGCTGACGGGCTTGGGTGGTACTGCTTATTTTAGAAAAAAGATTACTTAGGCTGGGTAGGTAGATGGGCATCCGGTTACCTGCTGCTGAAGATCACGAGTCAGCGTTCCTGTGAGAATGAGCTTGGAGTTCGCAACTTGGCGTTGAAGTTTTAGGGATTTCTTTTAATTATATTGTTAGATGGATGCTGGATGTCTATAGATGGTGGTGGTTTTTATGAAGCGGCTCGCAGATTGCCGGTGTTTAATATATAATACGAGGAAAATCGAATGGTACAGGCATTAACCTAGCCAAACCAAATGCCGTCTAGTTGTATCACATCAAAACAATAGCTCAATATGCAAGCTAGGTAACACGACTACTCATTGTGTTTGCAGATCGAGAAGCCTATCTTGTAGGAGGTAGGAAGAGGTAATAGTGGCTGAGACCTACCAATCGAAGTAAACTTCTCGTGAGATTCCATCTGTACCCGGAAAGGAAGTAGACAGCCGTTTTAATATTGCGCAGAGCCCGAATAAACGGATGCTGATCTCACTTGTCTAATGCCCAGAAACGCCCCCGAGATTTGCGAGTTGCACGAAACGAAATTCCACGGCGGCTTTAGGGGTTTGTTGGTTCACGCGAGGCTGCAAGTAATTACACCAAAAATGGCCGACTGAAACCACCTTCTTTCCTGCTTTGGGATGCTAGAAGTAAAGTAACATGCATCGCTGGATTTTGCTTAATACGAAGGATTGAAAATGGCAGTTCATACCTATCATATCACTTACATTTACATATGCATATATGTATCCCGATGTAAGTCATCACGAGAAAAGCAACCTCAGGTAGGCTCGCAAGACACCGTCAGTAGTAGTAGGAATCGGGATAGCAGAAAGCTGTTGCTTACATAGCACGATGTCTTCGCCTTCGTAATCAAAACAGAGCTAATGAATGGAGATGGAGGGCTGTGCCTAAATTATAAGTAAGGGTCTAGGCGAGCAGCGAGTCAAGTGTACCTAATAAAGCTCCGTCTGACATGCATATCCAGTACCATATATGGCTGGGTAGTGTACCTGGGGCGTACTTCATGCGACCTCGCCTGGCAAAAGCTCGGTCTAGGTCGAGCTGAAATCTATTAGGTACTGACCTTCCTGTTTGCCATTTTCTTAATTTTATTTTTCTGTGATTTGTTTCACTAGTATCATATATCACATGAGAAGAAAAGAAGGAATGTATTTTTGTCCATAATAGTTAACATGTAGATCCAATGTCTGAGCTGAAGAAAAGGCGATCGGACACATCACGATCTTTAACAAAACTCCGACGCCAGCGCGGTGGTAATATACCGATACGATTAATATCCCGTGAGTACATACAGCTGCAACACCAATTCCTGAAGGCGCGGGTATATAGCTGCCTATGTGCTGTAGTTCCGCCCGAGCGCGCAAGGCTGCTTACCGCTGGATGATCGCCGTTCGCATGCGCCCGGGCTTACCACCTATATCTTCTTGATTAACTACCCCTGGGGCTTAATCGTCAGTTCAGCGCTCCTAGTGAGGTTAGCAGCTAAAGCTGTCAGCTATATTAGTTCAGTGGAAGACTCGGGAGGGCTAAAATAGGTACGTGTGTCTAAGAACAGGGCTGATGCAATTTCTCTTATTCTACTATTCCGCTAGGTGTTTCCGCTATACTAGATATCACAGACAGGGGATTTAGTTTTTTTTTTCTCTCTACCATTTCGCCTTTCGTCATGTCTCTTTTCATGGTTATCAGTTGTTGGTTCTATCAATTTCTTGTCTGGGAACATGATTCTTACAGATTCGGTATCTGTTAACGAGAAGGGAGGTTGCTAGTGGCGAGCCTCGCATTGGTAGGAGTGTGCTTTGCATAGGGGAAGAATATAATTACTACCCATCTAGCCCTGGAAAAGTACGAAAAGTGAAATAGTGAATCCTCTCGATCGATTCCGAACCGAAGGATTTAAATTAAACTGGTTGTTGTTAGGCCGAAAGGAGTATAGCCATGCCAACAACACGCGGCAGCCTCCTGTTCCTTACCTTAGAGAGAGAGGAAAACCCCACGGGCGATGGTACTGTAGTGTAGCACTGCGGGCTCGAGACCCAGCGGCCGCCTGCATATTGCGTGCATTAAAAACCTCGCGGGACACAAGCACAAGCACAAACACGGCTCAGAGTAGTAATATAGTATCTAGCAAACCCCCCCCACGAAGGATGTGTGATGTTGAGTAGAGGGCAGAAAAAGGAAAGAAAAGCAAAACCCGATTGTCTCGATTGTCTCGATATAGGTACGACATTCGATAAATTTGGCTGTGCCGCACACATACCGTTGGAGAGGCGTCTAAATGCCTGCTAGCTTTACTGATGGTGTTTGTCATTCGAGACCCCTGATTGGAAGACTAGATAGGAATCAAGATGCGTTCCTACAGTACCGGATCATCAACTGCCAGGGGTTAGGGTCTCCCCCCTGTATACCAAAAAAGTTGCGAAAGTGAACCCCTGTTCTTCAATTGCGTCGCCGTCGTGCTGTGCTTTAACATGGGGCATGGTAGCTCAATCTCCCTTTATATAACCTGCAAGCAATCCTATTCGGGGGTCGGGAACCGACCCTTTTCGCTCCTCTTTTCTAATGTTTGTTCCTGTGGGTTGTGGTTTTATGTAGTTGTATGTGCGTGTATTGTAGGTTCAAGTTCAATTCGAGGTGTTGTGTATGTGTGTGGATTTCATTGCGAGATATACATACATACCATACCATACGTACCTACATATCCAACCATATGATCTGCTCGGCATCATCGTGATATGAGAGGTCTTGTCACAAGCGGAGAAAGAGTAAAGGAATCCTACAATCCGTTTTAGTCGCCATTCCTTCGGGACATCGGAATTTCTATTATTCTCTCTTTTCCTTAGTTTGCGTCTATCCGTCCGTCCTCTCATAACGATGTTGAATTTTTCCTCTTGAAATGTTCAAATCGCCCCAATGAAGGGCATGTATACGCCTTTCGTACTGCTGCTTTTCGCGGTTACAGGATGCTTGGGGAACCAGAAGATCGGATCGGCCAGTGGGCACGGCCTGGCCAGACGCGGCCTCGACAATCCTGGGCCTGACAACTTTGCCTGGCATAGATATCCCACAGGTTAGCCCAATATGTGACCTCATGTGAAAAGTACAGCTTCGGACTAATATTCGAGTTTAGTTGTGGCACTTGGCGACTACGTCTATATAGATGGCGGCGAAATATCTCAGAAGAGCAATGGGACCGACATAACGACAAATGGCACTCAATCCTACGCTTCATATTCCGGTATATACTTATCACTACTAATTCGTGTAAAAGGCCTTCACTAATCGGCACATAGTGACTTCAACACTTTCGTTAAGCTTAAAGGACTCATGGACAAACAGAACAGTTCAGCTTCAATCGATCCCCAAACAGGCACCATCACTCGATCAGCAAATTTACTGGTCCGACCCCTCTAATGGCGCGGGTGCATTCTACACCTGGGGCGGCATGGCAGCGGGGTCCGCAACGCCACCGACGAATGAACAATGGCTCTTCAACGCGGATGGATCGGGAGGTGGGATGTGGTCGCAGGTATCACAAAGCGATTACCGCCAATTCGCAGCACTTAAGCAACCCGTCGGTTCAGCATTCACCCAAGGAAATCAAATAGGTTACGCGCTCGGCGGCCAGGCTACTTCCAAAACCGACAATACGATCCAGAAGGCCGATCCAGGATACGCTTTACCAGGTCTCGTGTCGTACAACTTTCAGACTGGCGATTGGAATAATGTCACCACTACAACTGACTTCGGAGGGTATGGAACAAGCTTGAACGGTCGTGCGGAATTCGTACCATTCGGACCTAATGGATTATTGGTATTTCTTGGTGGCTCTGAATCGCAGGTTGATGCTACGGATAGTAGTATTGTGCCGACTAATTGGAATTCTATCACACTGCATGACCCGGTGACGGGGAAGTGGTACAAACAAAAGACGAGCGGAATGCGACCGGTATTACTCGAACGATTTTGCAGTGTTGGCGTTCAGGGACCTAACAACACATACGAAATGTACGTTTTCTCTGGAGTCTCGTTCGGTGTCCTTTTGCAAGCTGACACGGTATAGATATATCTATGGTGGCAACTCGGATCAGATTGAGGGCACATCACCTGATGTGCATGTGTTGTCTCTACCCGGATTTATCTTCTTCGATGCAGGATCTCTAGGTACGCCGCGTGCCGACCATGCTTGTGCGGTAGTCGGCAAGGGCAAGAGGCAAATGTTGAGTTATGGGGGTGTAAACGGCGGGCCTGGACTTCGTAACCCCACGACGACAGCCGATCCGTGGAAACAGGGACTTGGTATATACGACATGAGCGAGATGAAATGGACAGATTCGTACGACCCGGATGCAGCAGATTATGAGAGTCCGGCTAAGGTGAAGGATTGGTACGACCAAGGAAATTTGAATAACGTTAAGTGGGATAGTCCGGAGCTGAAGGGATTAATTATTAATGGTTCTATATACGGCACGAGTGGCGACTCTCCTCCGGCGAATAACTCGTCGGGTGGTTCCGGTACCTCGGCTCGAAAAATCGGTGCCATTGTTGGTGGTACTGTGGGAGGAGTAGTAGTGGTTGCGATAGCCATTACTACCATGTTCCTATTAAGGCGAAGACGCCAACGACGAGAAAGCCAAAGCACGATAGTCGAAACATTAAACGAGTACAGGCCGGAACCTTGGCCTAAGGATTCGCCTAGAATGCGGTCGACCACGCCGGGGACTTTGATATCCTCGCCAACACCAGTGGAACCGGTAGAAATATGTGGGATATCAAGAGGGGAATTACCGGCCGGCGAGGTCGAGTTAGCATATGAGCTTCCGGCTTCCCCAGCACGGACGCCACGGATAAGGCCTGAACTTCCGGATCGGACATATACAAGTTAATATATATAATCTTTTGTAAAGCGAAGAGAAATCCGCATGATTAATGACTTTTTATAATTGTCAGTTTTAGCGTTGTGATTTGGTGACACCGTGAGACAAAGCGTACCGAAACCATTTATGATATCCCCTTACATCATTCATTCGTAAAACCCACCCCATGATTCACCTTTTCAAAATAACTATAGAAGAGATGAGCGTGGAATTCGTGTGGAAGGTCTCATTTAATACCATCTCAAACTCCCTTGCCGTTATTATTAAAAAGATGGCGCCTAGGAGTGGAATGCTCAACCTGGTCAATTAGTTAACCATGGTCAGTAGCACGGCCGTCGTGTCGCCACCAAAAAGCATCTCCCCCTCACTTTGTATCCCCGACGATCTTCTTAACCTTCTCCAGCAGCAGCCCGCTCTCCCTGCCCAATTTTCGTTGGCCGTCTCGACCTGGAGTCCGCGCCTTCGTAAGAGCTTTCCTAAACCTCTCGCGCTCGGCGATCTTGCGTTCTCGTTCTGCATTTCGTCTCGCTATTTCCTGAGCTCGTGCTTCCGCCTCAGCCTTTTTGCGCTCACCATCTGCCGCAGCTTTGTCGAAATATCCGGGCTTGCGCGGATTTTGTTTCCGCCGGCGTGGGCGATTTTCTCTTTGCGGAGGTGGGGATGAGGGCTCCTCCTGCTCTTCATCTTCGTCTATCATCGCTTGCCTCTCGGGATGAAGTTGCGGTGAAGGGGGTGCAACATTCGCCTCCGCATTTGAATCTTCGGTGACGGTAATGGCATTGGTGGCGTCAGGTTTAGACGCGGCTTGTTCAGCAGCTTTTATTTTTCTGTACGCCTTTTTGACTTTTGCCTTATGAATGAGATCCTTCTTTATTTTGTCGACTGAAAATTATATAGAATTAGCCAATCAGTATGTGGAAGTGAGTTTTTGGAAAGGATATAAACCTTTTCTCTTCCATGGCCCATCTGGTAAATTCTCAGGTCCCACTCGAAAACCTTTACGATGCTTCTTTGCTGCTGGTGTAGCTGAGCTGTCCGAGTCAAGTGGTCGTTTTGGTGCCATATTCGACAAATGACACTCAATATATCGATTATTTGTGGTTCTTATTGAAATTCTGTCATATGTCAAATGTTATAAGTGAAGGTTGACTGATTGAAATGTTAGTGGCTAAAGTGAAAGTGAATGAAGGTTTGTGGATATCGATAAGCAGAAAATTCCATTCCACATGTATCAGCTAGCGGATACACGTACCGGTGTTTAGGTACGGTACTGTACCTAATGTAGCTGGGTGGACCTCCCTAACCGAGGCTAACTCTGCTGATAGGTAGTGCCAACTTTAGTTGCTTAGTTGCTTAGATAGGTAAAGGGACGGGAAACGGGAAACAGGAAACAAACTTAGCTTATTCCGGATGCAACTAGCCTAACTTGCCATGCTATAACCCCTGTCACCGCATATCCTTGCCGATACCGCCCCAAAATTGGCCATTCCTCGCCCAAACGGGTGCGATAAATGGGCGAAATAGGCGCTAATTATGACGCTGGACTTACTAAAAATTCACTGACTGTCCACTGACTGCAGTCATACGTTTGATAGGTGAAGGGAAAGTCCGGCTGATCAAGGCGATCTCACCTCCTACATTACCTACATTACTACAACAACACATCAACTACATGTCTGATGATAATAGGTCTTTCCTCCTATTTCTTCCTTTCCCTTTCCCTTTCCTTTTCTTTCAACTTCTTTTAACTCTAACAACAATTCCCGACCCGAACAAGATTAAAGTTACCAAAGTATTAATAATTGGGTTTGCCTGCCGAAACCTTGTTGGAACAAGGCGAACAGACCCTTGCCATTCCGTTTCAAACTTCCCTGTTCTTTTCTTTTACAGTTAATGAGGCGAGCATAACGAGTCATACTTCCTGATATCGATTTATTTCTGACAAGGACAAAAAAAGAAAAATCAGCAAACCACGTCCAAAATGTTTGAGTGTTTATAATATAACAATATTTATCTGAGGGTTTAGACCACTTGACCCCTATGTACAATGCCATTTTTTCAGTCAGATCCTGAGCGGAGGGAGTCCGCTAAAGAACAATCAATACCCGCTATGGCGTCACCACCAAATAATGCACCACACGATAATGTCGATAACACCTTAAGAAGAAAGCAATCGGAGGAGAGCATCAGCACAGAATTATGTGAAGGTCCAATTTCGGATAGTCCAGCACCACCGCGAACACCAGAGCGCAACATACCGACCGAATGTTCAGACCGATCCGAACTCATTGAACGGTTAAAAAGAGGCGAGAGCCCTACTTGGAAACCAAATCGACATGTTGGTACTCCCCTCCAGCTTCGAAGAAATTGTGGCATATCCAAGTTACTAACTTCATGGTTGGTAACTAGTTCGAATCGATATGGAATGAAGAACCTGTCTCTCCTACTCGCAGTCCGAAACGATCAAACGCAGCATCGCCGATCTTGTTGCCTCCAGCTACGATAACACCAGAGAAACGAGGTACCGATTCGGAAGATGAACAACGACAACGAGAGGGGTTAAGCATCGAACGTCCACGATCAGCTCTGCATAGTGGTGATTTCACGCAGGAAGATTCGCCCCGAGAGACAGATCCCATACAAGCACGTCCAGGAGCTCAACCAAAGCAAGATTTCGCCGGCATTAATAATCCGTGGTTAGCCACTTCGCCTCCAAGAGACTTCACCCCTTTTTCGTTCGAGAAGCGAGATATTCCAGCTAGGAGACCACATGAGACGCCACCGGGCTTATCTTCCTTATCCTCGTCGATATCTTCAAGCTTTGTATACAAGCCACCAACCAGTCCTCTCGTCCAGTCAGAGAGCAACGATGATCTCGACTTGACTTCGCCGATGGACGGTATTGATATCAGCTCAAGCCTTCCAAGAAATCCACGCCGGCACACTTTGATGTCATCTCATTCAGCTTCGTTCGGCATTCCCCATAGCCCATCACCGATACATCCCCCCTCTTTACGTCAAGAGAGGACATTCCCGTATCAAGCTCACCAACCTCGACGATCACTCGCCTCAACACCAAACTTCCCTACGGCTTCATCGTCGCCACAGACTCCATCGTTACTTAGGTCAAGACGCCCGTCATTCGGTTCGGATATATCGCCTATCCAACATGCATCCATGGTAGGGTCTTACGAGGAGAGTATCTTGCGAGGACGAATGTCAACTACACCTTCAAAACCTCTCGATTTCTTAGCTCAGATCGGCGTACTTGGGTTGGGTAAGTGCAAGTCAAGTCTACGATGTCCACCTCACGTGACCTTGCCTTTTCCTGCTGTTTTCTATAGTTATGCCAACTCCTCTCATGGACGTTCCAAAGTAGAAGATGGGCCAAGTCCATATGTCGGACAGGTCGACCTAGAGAACGGTCTTCCAAATCAGGAAGAGGACGCGAGATCAAAACGGAAAATGCAGAGTCGAGTTCTGGAACGTATGGCAGCGGAAGATGATAATCCAGAGACGAGTCATCGTCCTGCCGAACGTCCCGAGCGTAATTCCCGCAGAACTCACCAACCCAAAACCAAACGTAGGTCAGGCTCTCCGAGGGCACCACCAGGCGGAAGCTACCGTATCCCTGAAAAGGGGCAGATTCAAATCATCATCAAGAATCCAAATAAGACAGCAGTCAAGCTGTTCCTAGTTCCATACGATCTAGCCGGAATGGAGCCCGGCACAAAGACATTCATCCGGCAGAGAAGCTACTCGGCTGGTCCAATTATTGACAATTTACCTCGAAATAAAGATGGTGAAGCGGCAGATCGCCCCATTCTCAGATATCTTGTCCATCTACATATTTGCTGTCCTTCAAGAGGTCGCTATTATCTATACAAAAGTATTAGAGTTGTTTTCGCAAACCGCGTGCCTGATGGGAAAGAGAAACTCCGAAATGAGATCACTTTGCCCGAACCCAGGTTTACTAATTACAAACCAATCAGAGTGATGCATCCTCCAATAGCAGGAGGCACTGGTCCTGGCGCCAGTCTAGCTGCTGACAAGGCCTTCAGACGACGAAGCTCTGGGCTCTACTTCGGTGCTATGAATCAAGCTTACGACACATCTGGCGGGTTCCCCTCGGCAAGTGTGTCGCACCACAGCTACATGTCGGACTTTTCCGGACATAACATTCCGGTTGAACCTGTGCCGTACATGCATCGTGAGATAAGAAACACGCCAGATGCGGGAAGCAACTTAGGTTTTACGGACCCTCAGTCGCCAGATTCATCCCAAGCAAGTCGACCCACTACGCAGAATTCAAGTGATGTATCGAGCTGGGGCGGCCTGGACGGCAGAATTAGCACATATGATAAACTCAGTAAAGGCGACAAGGGCTACGGCGGCAATGCATTCGCCCGTCTCATCAACGGCAACACTGGTGTTGCAGAGAGTCTACTCTCACAGCGACTGCGTTCGCTAGGAGTTCAGGGACAAGGGAATCGGGATCAAGAGCAAGAGCAGGATCCTGGTACAACGGAGGAGTAGACCTCCAGTTCTATTGATCTCAACTATCGGCGTCGGAAATTTGGGTGCCGTTCATCATTTAGACATTGTTATTATCCATTGGCTTCTGGGTCAGGTTGGCAAGATCCATGCGTCCATGGGTATCTAGGCGTCCTATGGTTATGGGACGGTGGGTATCTGGGTACTAAAGGATGTTAATTTGGATGGCATTCGACTTGTTGGTCTGTAGCGTTGTTGATCTTAATGAGGACTTAAAGACTGATATCTACTAAGCCATTTAAGTGATTGTGTTAGTTTCTTCAGATGTTGTATCGGATTTCTTCATGCCGGTGTCGCTTCGTATTTGTAGAGCACTTGAACACATGAACGTTTGGCCACCATGTACAAGTAGATTTCTTCATGGCATTCAAGAAATAATGCGGCAGTCATGAGAGGGAGCCGACTAATATTATTATTGCATATATCACAGGATAGCACAACACATTAATTCAGACAAAATCAGTCTTATTCTCATTTTCCGAAGCTATAACCCGCGACGACAAGTCGCGCCTTATTAATTACAAGATACATAAATAGTAAACAAGCCATTCCCATTTCCATATGTACACGTCCTCCCTGTGTGTCCACCTTTCGTCTCCTATCCGATAACCTAGTCGAATTTTTTTCTCCTTTTAGATGCTTTGTGGTGCCGAAAGAAGAGGGTATCATAGCCCACAAAGTTTCCATACATGAATCAAACTCCCCTTAACTGATTTGATTGAACAACACTGATGCGAGCCAATGGATGGATGGCAATGCAAAACAGTTCAAAACAAGAGACAAACCCAACCAGCGCCTAAATAATGCCTGTCCTAGAACAAACGACAACAGAAACGGAACGTGAAATATGTCCTCGACATATTTCTGCAAAACAGGGGAGTTTGGCTGCTGCCATCACTTACGCAGATACACTGTTTTCTCTTTGTCGTTTGACAATGTAGTATGTGATCAGGCTCTTGGGGTCATCTTTAACAGTCTTCATGCTCTCCCAGAACTTGACCTCCCCTAAGCGGGCGTGTAGGGCGACGCAGAGTTGTACGGCGTCCATTCGTACACCACTTTCCTTACTTTCGAGGCATTTGGTTGCTAGACCAAGCAAGCCAGTAATCTCGCTCTCACTCGGCGCAAATGATGATCTCGAATCAACGAGCTCCTTTAGAACATGCAGGCCCATGCTGAGACTACGATGACCCGAAGCGTCCATATCCATCTTACCCAGATCGCGCGTCATGGTCACAGTAATCTCATCTGCGTCGCCAATCGTCACCAATTCGTCTGCCAACAGCTCCAGTCCGCTTACAATGTGTGTTCGAGCATCGTAGCGAGTGCGTGCAGCAAGTAAAGCCTCGAGTCCACGAGATACGTGAGGCTGGAACCTATCCCGAGACTTCTTGAGTAGTAACTTGATAGTCGCGAGAATCTGCGCCTTCACATCTTGAACCTTCTCAGGGGGGAGGTTCTCAAGGGGAGACTCAAGATATTCAAAAAGTCCCAGCAACAAGGTATCGAATTTGCTATCATCAAGGAGTAATTTACTATCACGAAGAAGACTCTGCAATTTGCGGAAGCCATGCACGTCAAGGGTCTGAGCTTTCACTCGAGTAATACCACTCTCGATGAGGCGAGAGTTCTGACGGGTCTTATCCGGAGAGGCAAGCGGACTAGAAGTTGTCTCACCATTTGCTGCGGCAGGAGGGTGAGAAAGGTTTGCAGCATCCTCATTAATTGGCTTGTCTTCAAGAACTGGTCGCTCAATGGTGTTATTTGCCGCCGGCCGAGGCGTGGCTTGATCTTCCTCGGTAAAGGGATCTTCATATACCTTAAGTGACTTCGACGGTGTAGGAGTGGCAGACTTTGTGATAATTGTAGACTCCTGTTCTTCAACAACTACAGGCGCTTTGGGTGAGGATTTGGCTGAAGTTGTCTGGGCACCCTCTTTCAACTGGGAAATATTTGGCACAACAAGTGTGAAATCCTCGTTTGAATTAGAGGGACTGCTCGAGGGAATATCATTTGTGATTGGGAGTGGCTTCAGCTTAGCGGGGCTAACCTTCGGGGGAACTGCCGTTTTATTGGCCGCTGCCTTCGAAGGAGTCGGAACACTGGATTCACTAGCTGTAGCTACATGACCGGGTCGAGTCCTCGGAACAGTCCTCTTAGGAGAGCCAGAGATCGTCTTCGGCGTTGCAGCTTTGGTCTTCACCTCAGAAGGGCTTGTTTGCTCCTTTGATGGACCGTCATGCGTCCTAACAGAATACGGTCCGGCCGTAGCGGGTCGAGGAGCAATGTCCGGCCTTCTTCTGGCCGGTCGCATTGGTGCGACCGACATACCGCCGTGAGATTTCGTCGAGGTTTCTGGGCGCGCCCTAGTCGCAGGGGCAGTCGCATGTGAAGCGGCTGACACGTTTGACGAGTTAGAAGGTGTCCGCGTCGCTGAAACAGTGGCCATAGCAGATCCAGGTCGAGCAGGTAGATTCTTGGTAGCCAAAGCTTTCTTCTGTGCTAGCATTGTCTCTCTCAGTGAGGGCTTCGAACTGGTCATAGTACTCTTCGAAAGACCCAACCCAGGACGTGGAGCTGCTGCTTCAGCCTTCTTAGGGGAGTTTGGATTGTTAGGATCTTTTTGTAATAATTTCTGTGCAGTAGAATCTAGTCCATCCATAATCCTTTGAATAAAGTTAGTCCATTGTCCTAATAAGAGGCTTTATCGTCACTCACACTTCTGCTTTGGCAGGCCAGATACCAGCAAAGACCCAATACGTTGAACGCATTCTTTCACGAACACCGGGGTTTGCATCATTCAGACCCTTCTTGATGCACTTTTCAATCATGTCTAGACCACCTCCGTGTTCAAGATGGTTCTTATGATGGGACTCCTTCTTCAACAAGGTCTTTAACCAACCCGGGACATAGGTTCGTGGTTGCACGTTCTTGTCTTGACAGGCGCCCCATATGTGTTGCATGAGCCTAGCATTATACGAGGTTTTTCCAACAAGAGTGTCGACTGCAGTATTGGCCATTTGAGAGGCCATCTTCTTTGTATTCGCGCACAATTTGATGAAGGTCTGCATCAATAATTCAACCAACGGGTCAATACCTGGACCAAAGGTATTGGCAAGATCTTGAATAAGAGCACATCCTTCCTTGGACAAACTTGTTCGTAAGGACGTGATGGCTTTGATGATACCATCGAGGAGTGCTCGACAGCCAGCAACGAAAGCATCGGGGAAATCCGACGAGGCATTTCCAGCAATGAGTCGTCGCAACTTAATAATGCTCTCCTCTCTCTTCAACCAGTTTTGCTCTGTCTCTCTGCCCTCAAACCATTGATGCATATCTTTGAATATATCATCTAGCTCTCGCTGAGTATTGACATATGAGGGTTCAACCGATTCCGTCTTAGCCTCGGGCATCGGAGTTGTCGGTCGTTCGCTAGCGAGGGACGAGACGCTTGCGGCGAAATTCTGTCTCCCTTGCATTGCTGACGCCGGTCGCGATTCTGGATCTACTCTTGAAGAAGTCGGTGCTAATTCCTTGACGATGGCCTGCTCTATCGCGGGTCGCACCTTGAAGTTCTTCAATTGCTTCTTCAAGTCTGATTTTGCTGCATTCGGCGCGTCCCTGAAATTGACATTAGGTTTTGCTCTATGCACGAAATACCAGAAGCGGGAGTTCACGTACTTGAATAACTCCAGGACAGTTCCTTTAGCCGTATCTCGAACCATGCCATCAGCATCCTCTAACAACTCCATTAAGGTAGGTACGTAGGATCGAAACTGTAAGCCATTCTCTTTGTGCATCTATGTCGCGTTAGCATACGCGATCTTCATAATGAATGCTTTGTCGCGCCAGCGAATTGTGTACATACCTGCAATAACCATTGCATGCCCGACTCCTTTGCTCTTGGGTTCTTTCCAACCATAGCAGTATTGCGCACAAACCTCTCAGCGTCCATCGGTACGTGAGTGTACATGGTAGCCATCGCTTGTATTCCCAAGACTCTCAACTTATCCTTCTGATCACCCATCTTGTCGACGATGAGCGGTAGGGTGTGTTTCGCCTCCTTGGCGAGGTATTTGGGTTCCTGTAGCGACATACGCGTTAAGAGGTGGTTCAATGTGGTGAATCCGGCGTTAACAAGGACAGAGTGTTGGGAACTCGAGGCAATCCGGAGTGCTTCGAAAAGCGGCGCGACACAGGCATCGGGGACACTGTAATGCTTAATAGCAGATTTGACGGCGGTGACATGTTGGACTTTAGCGTCGATAGAGGCATCTTTTCTAAGGATTGCCAACAGGTTGGCAACCTGGTCCTCCGTGAGCATATCAGCCATGATCCCCCAGGAGAATTGAGGATCCGGCAAAGTTATCGGAAGGGACCTAGTGGTAATTGCGATTCTATTCCAATCGCGTCCGTTCTATGGACTTGGAGGTAGATGTTATTGAGATTGTTGTAGTATAAGGTCGCCGACACGGTTGGGCGGATAGGGGTTGATCTCGGCAGTTGAAGAAAAGTGGTGTATCATCGACTGAAATCGACTGACTCGGAATTAACAAATCGTTGAATTGATTTTTTTAAGTAGCAAAAAGGTTTGCGACAACCGTTCGAGAGTTTAATTTTCAATTTCCAAATGCGCCGATTTAGTACTAGCCACTTGAAAAATAAAAAGTGTACTAACTTTGTAGGTGAATTGAGTTTGATGTAGGTATGTAGGTATGTAGGAAGTTACGATGGATACGAATTATGTAGGAACGATGTGGTAAAAGTTACACACTTCGCACTATTATTTTTCGTCTCGCCGTGTTGTTGTCATAATTCTAGTAGTAGTCAAGCTTGTTGATGCGGGAAATAGCCACTGTTCTGCACCAGGACAACGGCGTTTTGGGGGGTGTCTCCACTAATCTGCTAGTGCTTCTGTGGGGCGTGAAACAGTTAAATGAGCACTAATCGAACCCTTCCATCCATGATAGGTCTGTGCTGTCCAGGGGCTATTACCCCTGTCGTAGAAGGTCCAGGAACCCCAAATTTCTATGGTTATCGTTAAGTTGCCCCGCGCCGATAGGTACATGCCCCTCAATCACTTCAATTCCACTAGCAACGCCGACAATGTAAACATTGAAGAGCCTCTCTCTTGCTTACATCATTTCATTACCTATTTTGTCAAGGAGTAGAACTCATGCGGTTAGCATCTTACTTGCATACTCTCGATTTTACAGAAATTGATAATACAAATTCACGTTAGATGTTAAGCATACGTCACATCTAATTAAGATATTGCACAACTCGCGTACACATCTCGGCAATTCTAGACACTCATAATCGCACCTCGAATCCGCCAGTATAAATATTCACTCTCCACATGAGTCACTTCAAAACAGACAGTATCAATACTCTATCCGAAACTGAGGATCTACACATTCACCTCAAGATATCACAAGGTGGAGAGAACCAGAAAGAGACAGCTACATCATCTATGTCCCTTCCACCTAAGACCACGCCGGCCCCTCATCCCGTCTTTATGCCCGGCATGTCTCACCGAACTCAGGATCCAGCAGCGACTCCTTCCCCTATTCCTGTCCGGCCTAAGAGTAATGATACCACAAAGCAGCAGAAAGGCGATGAAAACCAAGGTTTATCCATTAACCTCCCGCGTCTACGCCTACACATCCAAGACATCAACCACGGCGGCTCTAACATATTCCTCTCATCCATCAACGCCGCCACCGTTTTACGTAGTAGCATAGAAACCATCCACAAGCACCTCTACACCCCCTCCTCTCCATCCTCCTCCGCTCCTACACCCCCAACTCTCCCCCTCAACCCCCCACCAACCCGTTCCGTAACCCTAATCCTGCGCCCTATGGACGGCGTAGCCTACACCACCGGCTCAGATCTAGACTCGGACCACAAAGAAATCCACTTCTCCCTCTCCTACATCTCCTCCATCCCATCCTCCCGGCAGACCCACGAGATCTCAGGTGTAATCGTACACGAATTAGTCCACTGCTACCAATGGAACGGCCAAGGCCGCGCACCGGGCGGTTTAATCGAGGGAATGGCTGATTGGGTACGTCTACAAGCTGGACTTGCGCCGCCGCATTGGGATCGCAAGCAAGTCCCTAGCAAGTGGGATGCTGGATACCAGCACACGGCTTACTTCCTAGAGTACCTTGAGAATCGATTTGGTGAGGGAAGTGTTCGTCAGGTTAATGCGAAGTTGCGGACAGAGAAGTACGATGGGAAGACATTCTGGTTGGAGCTCTTTGGTGTAAAGGTGGATGAGCTATTCGATGCTTACAAGAAGACGAAGGGCAAAGCATGATGGTAATGACCTAAGAACTAGCATGGGTTGTAGGGTCACAGATGGGTCACCGGAGCATGTGCTTATGGCAGGAAGAGCAAGGGCTTTTATGATAAACTTTTTTTCTGTTACTTGAGATGAGCTGCAGATACCCCGTTGAGTACGCAATACTACCAAAAAAAATTAAGTCAAATGCTTTCTACTCTGAAAAGCAAAATCCAAACTCGATATTCGAGGATTCCTAGCCCGTATCTCCCAATGTGATCCTGTTACCTAGCAAAATTCAAATCCCTGCCTGAAGACGCCATGCCATGAAAACCCTGCTGTGGTATACTAGATGATATAATGAGACGAGAGGTATCTATATCTCAAGGGTGGGCTTGTGCCTGTGCTTGTGCCGGAGCTCCTGCCTCACTTTCGCTCACTACACTTCCAACTTCAGTCCAACTCGCCGGGGTCATCATGCCATCATCATCGCTCATCACGTCAAAAGGCCGGTTCTCGGGCCATGATCTAGCGGATGCAGCTTCATCACCAATATCCTCACCAGAACCTGATAACGAGGCAGAGTCCGTTGGCGTTAGCATACCGTCGCTAATAAGTTCTGGCTCAGATATAGGTGCAGCGGGTGATACAGGTAGTGGCGAGTAGAAGCTAGCAGTTGATGCATCGTGAGCCCATGCCTGGATCGAGCTATACGCATCCTGACGGTCATCTTGCCCAGCTGTCATGTATTCATCAGGGCCCAACTCTCGCTCAGACGGCTGTGCCTGCACCACTGGGGTGTTTAGTGTCTGATCGTCAATATTGACTAGTGGGGGAACATCTGCGACTGGGGCCGGAGAGAGAGTGAGAGATTGCGGTATCTCGCTCTTAACACCGAGTTGCGTGCTGGCGCTGTAAATATCGGAATCTCTTTCATCTCTCTCGGGATCTATCAAACTGTTCTCAAAAGCGACGTGCTCATCGATCCCGTGTTCGTCTGTGAAGGGATTCGTGTAGATGGATTGATTTAAGCCTCGAGCCCCTTCCCCACGGCGTCTCAACAGGCCTTCAATATTTTGTGGTTGTGAGCCTGTTTGGAAAACATAGGTACCCTTTTCAGCGTTGCCGTCCTCTCGAAGGAAGTCATCGAAACTTGACCCCCGCGTTGAAGCACGCGGGCGCGATGTAAATTCGCTGCTGTCAAAGATATTTTGTTCCTTTTCCATCTTCTGCTCACGTACGGCGTTCCAATACATTAACTCTTCTCGCTGTCGTCGGCGGGTTTCATCGTCGGCATCGACACCGGGTTCAGCACCCGTTTCGGCATTAAAATTTACACCACGGGATCGAAAGAATCCCTCGGCATCTTCGGGTCTGTTAAAAAGGTTCTGTCGGTCTGCAGGGCTCACGCTATCGCCTAAGGAATGAAGAGCAACGGCGATTCGGCGTCTAAGGTCGTTGGCCATGCGTTGTAGTTCGGGGGATTCGTAGACGGCTATGGCGGCTGCGACGGCGACCGAGAGGGCGACAACGCCGACTGAAACCGCAGCATGGTTAATAGGAGGCATCATGTAAATGATGGGGATATTATGCGTGTAACTAAGGGATCAGGTGGAATGGCGAGATGAATAGAAGATTGTGGTTTGAGATAGTGTATTTGTGCGATGCTATCGAGGATTGGTAGGACCTTCGTAATTCAGGTGCCTAAATCCCCAGGATCAAATAGCTTGCGTGGTTCGCGTAGTGTACGTATACTTCCTTGCCACCATCAGGGGGCAAAGGCACAGTTGTGATCCGTACACACAAATGATTCGACGTGGGGTAGAGTGAAGGACAGAGGAAGTACATCAAGTGACTTTCGTTTTACTTACCCTTAGCAGCAATGGGAACAGGCATGTTTCAAATTGTCAGCCGGAGAGAAATAATGCCAACAACACCCACGATTGGGTCGCCTAAGTCAATTAGCAACAAAATGAGGTGCAAGGAAAAAAAGAGAAAAAAAAATAAGACTAAAGAATTGATGTGTAGGTGGAAAGAGGGGAGAAGTCAATTTAAGAAGAAGGGGAAAGAGTAGTGGGTTGCGACGTAGGAGTGCAATGAGGCACACGTCCCCTGATAAGGTTCGTCAAGGCGAGAGATGGTAAGTACCCCTCGCGGAGTTCAAGGTGTGATTGTGATTAAATGGTACAATACATGATAGAGTAGAGTTCAAGGCAAGGCACACTCAAGTACTTCAAAGCTTTCAAGTACAAGTCGCAACCTTCCCAACACAACTCAAACTCAACGCCTCATTGCGTAATGGCCAATGAGGTGATTTATAGTTGAGAAAAGAATTAAAGTATGGCGAGTCGCCAGTGTCAGCTCCCCATGATCCATAATCCATAATCCTGAAGCTAGGGGGTACGTACTCTTTAGCTCCAAGCCTCACAACTAAAGACAAAGACAATTAGGCTGCCTCATTTAGGAGTCTAGCCGAGGAAAGGATTCGTAATGTAAGTTATATATGTCTCATAGTATATATAAAAAGCATATAACTTATTGATGCGAAAAGACAATAGATAGATGTATCAATACCTAGGTATCATCAACTCCTATCGATATCATTATCTGTCTAGGGGTCCTTGACGCGATGATGCAAAAGTACATGAGATACATCCAATATTGTAGTGGGGTAAATATATTGCCCCGCAGCGGTACATGTGTAACTTCTATCTCCAAGTTCTGAATGCATGCACTCTAGTATCGTGAGGTGCCCTCCTATTTCCTAATGCCTATTAAAAAAAGTCAATTTTTGTTTGAAAATCAGATCTATCAGATTCGGGACCTTGCATGAATCCTCTCCGGTAAAGCATGCCTTAACAAGGAATATCGATCTTTACGACGCGTTTGTATCACTAATATTTGGATTAGAGTACCAAAGAGCAATCAGGTTTAGGATACTTCTCGAGCTACAGAATACATAATGCTGTACAAGCTGCGAATACATAATTTGGACTCAACTGTCAAAATTGAAGTTTTATTCAAGTTCAAATAACATGAGAATAGACCATCAACTAAGATTGTTAAAAGTGAATGTTACTAATGTGACAAATACTCGAGAGTTCTTCGGCTCGAACGGATAGCAGCGACTTATGAATTAAGTGGGTCTTCAATAGAGTCTTGGCAGCTCTATTAGTTATTATTAGGTTCATCTACTGCAAGGTACACTACCATAAAATGTAAATTGGTAACCCCTATTGTTGGCCTTAGGAACAATTATCACGTTTGTGTGTAGCTTCGTGTATAAAATACCATATCTAAACTTCGAAAGCCGCCTAACCGTATGGTGGGATTAATAATTCTTCACGGAACCAGGAGCCTCATCACATACGACAATATCACTAAGTGCTGATGAAAATTCCTCGGGTACTTCGGGTTGCCCGTATTGTTCAAATTTCTCTGGACCAAGTAATCCACTCTGCGATTGCGGATTAGCCGCCGACTCGGCTAGCACATCGGATGCGTGAGCGGCTACGTCGCCCACAAGCCAGGAACATCGGTGGTTATACAACCTAGGCAACCGGCTGTGGGACGTGATGAGCCGAGTTTGGTGTTACAGCAGTTACGACCACAAGGGCCAAATCTGTAAGGCTCGGAGGTAATATCTGCTCGGAGTTTCTAGCTTCGTCGAGTTACATCATGGTAGGACAAGAAGGACACTATACTTGGTCAGTTCAGTCTCTCGGGGAGTAGAACAGGACTTGACATCATTGTGTAAGTTGGTAATACCTAACAATTCTTCCTCCGAGCCTTGTCCCTCTAATTAAGAGGTGAGCCCATCCCAGGTAATTCTGGGCTGACGTCCATGTGCATAAGCCCTTAAGCTGTGCATTGTCATCGCTTTGATCCAACTTATTGGATCTAGAACTCGACCGAATATGTAGGCAGGTTAAGCGAATGCCCTATGGCTTACTTTGATATCCCCTGCTTTGGAGTGGCAACTAGAATGCTCACCACCTAAGACATACATCTATGGACGGGTCGTTGCCTGCCTCTCATGTGGGTTTCAAATCGGTGTAGCTTTAGCACAATGGGCAGTCGTATCTCGTCATCACAATATAACCCTACTGTTGGATATCTTAGTGAGAATTACACGTAGGGCTTTCGTGCCAAGTCGGAAAGGAATTAGGTACTGATTAATTATTTTAATTGGCAGTCTTCCGGTTGGCGATAGAACGCCACTGATCTAAAAATCAGTGCAGAATGGCAATAAGCAAAAAACGCCGCAGGACAAAAAGCCACCACCGGAGATCCGATCCGTCCTCGGCGCCGAGACCCAGACTCCAATAGTACACAATGCCACCAATAAGCCAAGGTCAGTGAAAACAAGGAATTGTGAATAGTAAAAAGTAAATTCCTTTCTTTTTTTCTTTTTGCTCTTTTACTTCTTTGGTGATTAGGTGTTTCTCTCTCTCCACGTGCAGTTAACTAGCTAGATAGGATAGGATAGATGTAAGTCAAGAACGAATATTGTTCCACCTATTGGTCACAATCAACAGTTTGATTCGCCCTTCCCGTCTCAAACCCACCAAACCCCAACAGCCACATCCTTAACCATCCAATTGGATACGCATCTTCTTTCGTCTCATCCCACGTTCTTCCCCAATTATCCATGCGTGGTTTGCACTAGTAGTATGCAAATGCAGATGCGAGCTGGGACAATAGGATGGCCACATAATGGAGAAAAAAATCTGATTGTGACAAGCTTTTTTCCATCTGCCCAGCCGATCAGCTCCCGATTCAAGATAATGCCGCAGGGTCAGGTGTTCAGTCCGGAGTCGTTCGCAATGTTCCGTCGAATAGAAAAGGCAATTGTGTTGTTCGTATAAGCAGGCAGGTAAGGTAATGTGATCGGTGTACCCACAGAAGAGGAATCGATGGATAGGATTACGGCAAGGGGAATTATTGTTGTCCGCTCTTCAATTGGGCCAATGTTGCATGTGGGCATGTAGGAACGGTCGTCTAATGCGACGACGATGTACTCGCGGCGGAGCTCGAGCTCGTCGACGAGACGGTTGTGGTTGATGAGAAGCCGGAGTCGGTACGGGCGAGACCTGGTGCCTTAACTCGCGAGCGCTCACTGGGTTAATTGTGTTAGTTGTTATGTAATGAGAATAATGAGACGCATTGGCATCAGCAAAAGGCTTATACTCACTATGCGGCTCTGTCGCTGTGGATCTGGCACTTCCAATGACCATTTCCGGTCTTGATGGTGAAGCTCAGAGGCTTGGTGTCGACGACCTGCTTGATATCTACGGAAGGCATGTTGAAGGTGTTTTGGAAGAGAATTTAGTATGTAGGTCGGTTGGAAGGTAGGTAGATAAATAGGTAGAAGTAGGTAGAGGAATTGATCAAGTGTGAGCGGAAGATTCGGAGTGGAGATTGGTCTTGTTTGAAGAAGTGGTTTGCTTTGCAGAACGACTCGAGATGGAAGAAATCAAAGATTGGAAAAAGGGTCAACGAAGGAACTATATATAATAAATCAAGAAACGACCGGCATCTTCGGTTTGCCTGAACTATTTGACACTATGCCTAAGGTACGTACATCCTGTAAAGCTACACATAGTACGTATTTCGTGCAAGTTAGACTGGAAAGACCCCTAATCTGCACATGTCCAAGTACCTAGGTATCTCTCTGCAATAGATGTATCCAGTAATAATAATTCTGATACTAAACTAAACACGCGCCGGTGAGTTATTTTATGATTTAAGACGCAGCCCAACCTATTCGGAAATATCCTTTACTCGCCCTTGAGTGTGGGACCTGGGTATCTGGCTATCTTTGGGGCTCCGCTCGGCCACTTACCCTATGCGGCGCACTACTCTATGTGAGTGGCTGGACGCTGTTAACTTGGGGATTGGGGGTGCGAGAAATAAGGAAGCTCCCCCGGAACATCGAGAGATCCTTGTAACCTACCACAGATGTTCACGATCGTCATTTGCTAGCTCTGCTAAGGAATATTACTTGTTGTAAGCCCATGCGTATGTAGTGTATGTACGTATTAACTCTACAGGTAATTTTTCATTTTTTAGACCGCTTTGCCTGCCGCCCTACCGCCCACAGATAACACAAGACCATCTCGTCATGGGCAAAGATGAGCGCTCTCGAAAGTGTCACGCGACATACATATATGTGAGAATTATGCATGATGCAACCTACACGTACTACTTTCAGCCGGCGAGGCTCGTTGGAAGGCCGGTCTGTGGTCTGTGTAAAGATATGCCCACACTTTTTTAATAAGCGGTATGTGTGTGGCCGTGGGTTGCGCGGGATAATCACGATCATCTGGTTTCTAGTTGGCAAGAAATGCAAAACAAGAACTCGATCTTGTTTGCGTATTATGGATAAGACGGGTTTTATCCTATCTTTGGGACTTACTCACCCGTAGGATACGTATACGGAAAATGGTCAAGTGAACTGTCTTAGATTGGACTAACGGACCAATTGTAGGACGTTGATCACAAACAAATCCCTCGTCTATCCAAACTCTCGGCAAAGAAGGTTCATTAAAGGTGTGCGTGTTTTTGATCTTGCTTTGGATCTGAGCAAACTTGCTTCTACTGTACATAGTCCGCCCGTAAGGCAGGGCTTGGCAGGCACCAGAAATTCCCAATGTTTCCCTCCTTCGTAGCATATTTCGTCTTCTAGAAAAGCCTTGGAGACCTGTAGTCTGTAGATCTTTCGCTGCAGCGCCCGCTATTTCTAGCACACAATCGGGATGATCTTGGAGGAAAAAAAGTCTTGGGCTTTTTTTTTTTTTTTTCTATCTGGGTGTGCCAGAATACCCCTATCGTTGATTTCCCCAAACGGACGATCCGGCTTCGTCTGATTGGCTAAATTATCTAAGCCCAGACGGCTTCTAGCCCTATGAGGACTAGGCCAGTACCCAGGTATTGGTAGTTGTTTTTCATTCCCGTCGTATTGCCGCGCCGACTTTTGAAACGACGAACTTGAATGACCCCCGCGGACTGGCGGAGAATTGTCCACGTAAAAAAAAAAAAAAAAAAGGACAAGTCTCGGTGAACGCTTCCTGTTTTCCGTCGACCCAGGTATTGGTTCTTTCTCCTAGACCTTACATTAGTATATTTCGCCCCGTTCTTATAAAAAGACGAATAGGACGAGGCTAAACGGCATATATCAATTTCCCTATCGTCTACTTTCTCGAATCATCAATCTAGACTTCGACCCTCACTTACATCATTTCTCCACGCGGATGTAATTGGACAAGTACGAATCGAATATTATTTAAGCAAAGTGCTCGCGAAATGTTGCCATTGGTTTTTTGGCGGTGATTATCATTTAGTCCTCTTCCCCCTCTCGACGACGTTATTAGTTTACGGGAGTAGTTTTCAACCCGAGGCTTTTTTCGTCCCCCTATTTTGGTCTTAGTTCGTGATATGGGTATTAGTTGTGGTGTGCCATTGAGGGATTTCCCCGGAATGGTAACCCGATCCCACTCTAGGGGTCGACATGTTGGGCAGGATAACTGGATGTGATAGCACCCGATTGTCGACGACCCTATGATATTGGAAGAATCCCATGCATCTTATGTAGGAGCATAATCTCTACTCGCGAACGATTGCGAATTACGGGGCCTAATCGATAGACCGTAACATCAAGTAATCTTATCAACAAGACCTTTTTATGATTCTATAAATCTAGCCGCGAGAAGCGGTTGCAGTCCATTCTCCTCGTGGGTGATTGAGGAGATATGATTGTACGCTCTTTGCCAAGTTATGATATATCAGATGGAATGTCCTCAGATAATGAGCTAGCCAACCTCAATGATGCAGAATGACGGGACGACGACACGGGGTGAGATATCCCATTGATACCCACTTATCTCGCGGTCTGCCGTCTAACTCGCGAAAGCCTATTGAGATTATGGGATTACTTTACTCCTAGGATAAATCGGCCTGAAACCCGAAAACCGGCTTCATATCCACGGGGTATGAATGCAGAGAGCGGTTAGATTCGCATCTGGGTTGTGGCGACACGCTCATCACATGCATGATATATTCGTTGGTGCAATATTGCGGAATCAAGGGTCCTAGGGAGATACTGTCTGGATTAAGTGTACTCGGAGAATCTATCGTGCTGCAATATGATACGATGATCTCATTCAACAGCAAAGGGGTAATATTGGGGGTTTCCGCAACTGGAAATTGGCTAATAGAAACACACTCCCGGATTCTACGATGCCGGAGATATATGATGACGGATGAAATATCGTGACTTCGTGAGCAAGCGGAGATCCGTTTCGTGCCTAAGGTTTGGAGCATTGAAAACTATTGTCTGCGCCCATTATAGTGTCTATCGTCGCCTATCCCGTCTGAAGCCTCCATCTGAGTTTCCTACCTATCTAGGTAGAGATTCGAGACTTTAACCGTTACGCTTCCTACCCCAATGCTCACCCACCCTTTCCCCTACCCAGCCATTATGAGTTTACATGTTAACCCCCCTTCCGAGAAAATGCCGCAAGAACCACCGGGAGGGACGTAGCTATCCCAACATACCGGGAGCTTGGACAATAAGTAGCCTTAGTATTGGTCTTAAAGATTGGTTGAGGCTTGTGATAAGTTGCGAATCCTTTTCTATCTAGGCATTTACTGGAACATGGCGCCGAATGAGCCGGCGTGAAAACATACCTTCGAATTCTCCAACACAAGAGTCCTATATCTATGCCGGTTTGTGTTTCAATTTAGTTGGTGCGTGGGATGGGCCCTTATATTGATACTTCGTCGGGAACCGGTGGCAATTTTGGTTTCTGTCTGGTCATTGGTTTTGTCCGGGCCTTGAGAATTGAGGTGGTAACGCACATTTACTACGCATGCGAACTCCTATTCTTTTTGAATATCTTTTTATTTTGTATTTGTGACTAGGGAAAAGAATTGACCTCGCAGTTCTCATGCTCATTACATTCATCTCGTAGATTGATTTTGAATCATGCAAAATTCATTCCCATTGTTGTACACTCTACATCGGAATCGCCTAATTCCCTCTAATGCACGCCACTATGGATGGATGATGGAAGAGGATGAGGTATCTACAACTTAGAAATGATGGCCGCCGCGTATTCGTTAGTCTTTGCTTTTCCACCCAAGTCGCCCGTCAACGACTTTCCTTCTGCTAGGGTATCAAATGTGGCCCTCTCAATCTTGTTGGCATACTCGTTCAAGCCCATGTGTCGCAGCATCATCATGGAGCTGAGAAGTAGGGCGGTGGGGTTGGCAAGACCCTTGCCGGCGATATCCGGAGCAGATCCGTGCACGGCCTCGAAGATAGAGCACTCGTCACCAATGTTTCCAGAGGGCGTAAGACCAAGACCACCAATTAGACCAGCGCACATGTCGGAAAGAATGTCACCGTACAGGTTGGGCATGACGAGGACCTTGTCGTTGTAGGGTAGAGGGTCGGTAACCATCTTCAGGCAGGTGTTGTCTAGTAGCTCGGCGTCGAACTCGATAGTGGGGAAATCCTTGGCAACCTCGCGGGCAGTCTTAAGGAAAAGACCATCGGACATCTTCATGATGGTGGCCTTGTGAACGACGCGAACCTTCTTGCGGCCAATCTCCTCGGCGTGTTGGAAAGCGAATCGTAGGACACGCTCACTAGCCTCGCGGGTAATGAGCTTGATGCTCTGAACAACGCCATCAACCACCACGTGCTCAATACCAGAGTATTCACCCTCGGTGTTCTCTCGGATTAGGACGGTATCGACATTGTCATATGGTGTTTTGTAACCGGCAACGGATCGGCACGGTCGCAAGTTCGCGAAAAGGTTGAAGGTTCGTCGGAGGGTTAAGTTAAGAGAGACATGTCCCTTGCCTACGGGGGTCTTGTAAACAACCGCATGTTAGCGACAATGATACCCCAAAGTAAGTAATTGGTAGACCTACAGCAAGAGGACCCTTAAGGGCAACCTTGTTCCTTTGAATACTCTCAATTGTCTCAGAGGGGATAGTTGTCTTTCCGTCTACTAATCTGGGTGTAACATCGACTGGTTCCCAGCTAATTGGTGTCTAAAGAGGTTTAGTATTGAGAGGTTCAGCTTCGAGGAATGTCGTCGACCAACCTTAGCGGCTTCAAAAATGTCCTTGACAGCTTGCGAAATCTCAGGTCCGATACCATCTCCCTCGATAATACTGACGGGGAAGCGACCCTATAATTTAGTATTGAGTTAGTGTCTTTCCTCCATGCGAAATACCATTGTGTAATTAGTGTCTTTTTTGAGTGATTTTCCTCGGCCGAATTTCACATGACAGAAGTCGCAAAAAGATAACAATAATACGTACGTCGGAACCCTTCACACCAGTGAACTTGGCGACTTTGTCTGAATAGAATCTTCGGTCCTAAAACATAGGGCGACATGTTAGCGACCGTGCGATCCAGGCTTAAGCGTCTCAACTTGGTGCCCACCTGGAATGATAGAGTTGCGGCAGCTCGTGGAGCTGTGGCTAGGCATTGGCGCCGCAGAGGTGCGGCAGCCGCTCGAATGGTCAACATTATGTATGATTAGGAGTGTAATATGATATAATTATAAACTCCTAAAAAGAGGGTATGGGTATTAAAGATGTTGGCGTAGGGAATGAAAAATGGTGTCTAGTTGGAGGGATGGTGTTTTTCGCAGGAAGCGCCTTGAATTGATTGAGGCTCGGGTGGTATCGGACGGACGGCTGTTGCATCTGCAAGATCTGATAACAATCCAGCTTGAGCCGAAACTGAATTTTCACCAGAGATTTACCGGCAAGCTACGTAACATGCATGTACTTATGTACATTTACATAATTATTTGTCCCACGCTTGCCTTGAAGTGTGGCAGCACCATGCCATTATATAATAACATGCAGGAACGCTATGCCACTTATATAGTAGCGTAGTGCACGGATACAATACGAAGGTACCTTCCATTTACATGCGACAGCATCCTTCGTTAACCTTAAACTCTAATCATCAATTCAATACATAATTCCGACCGACCTCGAACCTTAGCACACTTTGAGAGTGTTGCACAAAACACTCACTCGAAGCGATTGCCTATACCCTAATACCGAACCTATTGGCGAATGGGACACTCCTAAGTATTGGCTTGGGGCCATACACTACCGCCCGTAGGGTTCAACCATAGGAGGAGTTGTTGGGGTAGTGGCAGTGAATATGGCCGATTTCGATAGAAATGTGCTGGAGTTCTACCAGCTGTCCACACCGTTCCCCACAGAATGGCCAGCCGAAAAGGACAAGAGCGACGATTCGGACAGCGAGCTTGAACAGAAGAAGCAAAAGATCAATCGCCGAAAATCACGATATCAAGCACTTGAACGAGCTGTCAGCAATAGGGCCAGTATAGTCCAAGGATCGGAGAAGTCGGCTAATGGCGTGAGCAATTTGGTTCAGAAGGACGAACCCGACCCATTGGGAACATCTGAAAGTGTTGTGAGATCTCTAGGACGATTAGGTGTACCGGTTCAAGATGATGTCCGTTTACGTATGTTGAAACCAAATTGAGTATTCATCCATTATAAGCTTACCGGCCTTCTCTTAGGAAATCGGTTCCTCTTATCTTCAACGAGCTTCTCTCCTGCCCTATTCCTCTCCCAGATGCATGCGACCGCTGATACCCAATCCTTGCTAAACGGTCTTGACGTCCTATCCAAATCGATTGACCAGAAGTCCGCATCATTGAAGGTCTTGGTCGAATCTAACTTTGAGAGATTCGTCCGAGCTAAGGCTACAATTGATAATGTCTACAGGGAGATGAAGTATAGGGGCGCTGAGCCACCATCCCCGGGCCGCGCTCGTGGACATTCGCGACATGCTAGTAAGAGTAGTTTCAGGAATAGCAGCGGAGGCGCGGCGCTCGGAACAAACCCATTATCATCCCCTCTACCGAACGATACTCGAAAGAAGAATGCACTTGTCAAAGAGAGTGACTATGGAGTCATGGGTATCAAGACGCCTCTATTAGATGTTGCTGCCAAGGCCGAAGATGTTTGGGGCCCCGCGCTTGGTGGTAGGGAGAAAGAGGAGAATCTTAAGACCGTATCGACGTCACTTGATCGGTATAAGGAATATATTGAGGCTAGTTCCAACATCGCCGACAGCATTAAGAGAAAGGATTATGAAGCATTGGTAGAGGAATATAGTCGTGCTCGAAGATTTGCGGATGACGCACGCAAACTTGTCGAGGCTCTAGGCTCAACTCCTCCGAGTGAGACGCAAACCTACCAAATTCTCCTTGCGGCTCGGATGTGGTACGATGTTGAGGAGCAAATCCAACTTTTCAAACGCGAAGTATGGAGGAAGCTTACATCGCTACACACAGTATCTAGGACGGAATCATTCGCTGCGCAACCACAAGATCAACATATGGAGTTGATTGGTCTACTGCTCGAACTAGGTGTCGACGACAATCCAATATGGGTGTGGCTCTTGAGCAAATACGACTACTTGAAGGGCAAGATTGCAACCGCTGGAGAACGGGCAAAAGTCGAGATTGAAGTGCTTCGGCGTCGTCTGGCGAATGCGGAAAAACCAGCGCCTCAGATGATGGCCTCATATCTAAAGAATCTAAGTCGACAAGCCGTCGAAAGCAGAGCTACTGGGTTGGACTCTCCTGATGTCATCGAATTATGGGAGAAGATGCTAGCCTTTTTGTCAGGTCTTTTATCTGCCCAAGGTATCTTGGGGGAGGTTGTAGACTTCTGGCAGACCGTTGATGGATTTATTGACGGCAAGGCGCAAAAGTCATTACCTACCGGTTATAATGGCGAGTCACGCGATCACCACCGGCTTTCTCAGCAGGGAACAGTCGATTTACAAAAAGGGACTATTGAGCTAGTTGATATGATTCGTGCACATGTTTTTGAGTTCTTCGCTGGTGCTCCCCCTGAAGATATTTCGCTTCTCTTCTCACCGTTACCACCCTCACCTGGTACACCCATGTCAGCGGGATTATCGCCTACAAATGTGAGAGATCCTCGCTTCAACTTCGATGCGAATAATCTCCCCCCGCCGTCCCCTAAAAGAGGCGAGACATGGGAGAAATTCGCATTCTGGCCTCCGACGTCTAATTCTGTCAGTGGCGTTCACTACCTGTCTAAGATGCTTACTTTGGTTGGTTCGGGCGCATCAGAAATGGCAAGCATAGCTCCTGTGAAGCAGGGTGATGCGAAACAAGTAGACATGCTAAAAAATGTGGTTGGTGCTGCCCGCGAGAGATGTGTCTCAGCATTATGTGCCGCTTGGAATAAAGATGCCGAGAACATTAAGTATGTCGAGGACTGGAAGCGCACCAAGGAGATGGGAGATGTTACGCGCATGCCAGCAAGCTTCGCTGCCTTCGAAGGCGCGTTGCTTTCCGGGATGCAAAAGATATTGTATATTCCAGAGGCCATGGCTAAAGTAGGCTCGGCTGATATTGTCTCTGCTCCGCCGGCGAAGCAGTTGCAATCGGTAAGGAGTCAATATGTCACGACGCTCTACAAGGCGCTTAGCGGAATGGTGGAGAACGCGGAACGAGCCGTTAAGAAAGCGGATGACGAGTGGACCACTGATGCGGATCTAACCGTTAGTTCTGTGAGCGATAGAATGTCTTTGGGTGTGGACTCGGGGGCTGTTGATGCTGGTGATAGGGTAAGTTCCGTCAAAATCGTCTTATGAATCAAAGCTAACAGAATAATATAGAATGTCCGTATGCTCTTAACTCTTGGCAACCTTCACGCATTGCGCACAAAAGTAGTGCCCAACTTGAATGGCCAATTCGAGAATGCCTTCTCTGTAAAACTCACCGATGAGTCTAAGACTATTAAGGATGTGCTTGGCCAAATTGACGCCCGTCTCTTCCAAACATATACCCGTCCTTCCTTAGATACCCTTCGAAAGATCATCCGCGCTGGGGTTGCCGATCCTAAATGGGCTCCTCCCAAACCTTCAGAAGTCAAGCCATATGTCTACGAGGCCCTACTCACCCTCGTGCTAGTCCACACACAAGTTTCTACGACAGCGCCAAGCATGACACATCAAGTAATATCATACCTGCTTGAGCAAATCAGCCGCGAGCTTTTGGAATGCTTTAAAGCGCGTCCCAAATTTGACCTCGGAGCACTCATGCAAGCGACGTTAGATGTCGAGTTTTTTGCACAGACACTAAGCCAATACACGACGGAGCGCGCATCAAGCATCCAGGGTGAAATTTACTCAATGCTCGACTCCAAAACAGATAATCAAGCTCGCGCCCGCCTACAGGACGAGCTTCCCGGTATGCGTGAAGTCCTCAAGAAGCTTAGAGAGCAATCGAGGAGCGAATTTGCATGCTTTAAACGACCCCGGAGAACGGCCGGTGGGGCTAGCGTGTCTTCCCTAGGACAGGTGCCGACGCTGGAGAGGACGGCCACGGGCTAGGCGTTCGTGCGTCGTCTGAGAGATGGCTCGGCTAGAGTAACGGGTGTGTGGGCTAGAGAAGGATTTGTTCCCGCTAAGGCGCCGATACAGCGTCCGCTATTGCCTGGCGATGATGCGTATGTGCTTGAGTTTAGGCTCAGGGCGGTGAAGGTGGGGGGTGTGAGGACTTCCGGGAGTTCGGGGGAGTTGAGGGGATGAATTTAAGGACTGAGAAATGAGAAGTTAGAAATGTTAATAGTCTAGGTGGTACAAATGAAGTAGCATTGTAATGCGCTATATCAACTTTTGATCATTAAATTGTATAATTTTATGTGATTACTAGACTGGCTATTCTACTTGACTATTATAACAGGTTTGCAGAATTGATGATGAATTATGGAAGTCTTGAAAAGGAAATATATATATTTATTACTTAAATGATAGAGATTAAATCTGAAATAATTATGGTTTTATAAGAGAAAAAGCACAATATATCTGGGTCAAGTAATTCATTATTAATCGGATCCGGCGTCGTCTCATAACTGCATCATCTATATAAAGTAGTCCGCCTCCACAACGAGAATGCAAATCGCAAAATGCGGGCAAATCTCCAATCGATGCTAGGCCGAAGAGAAGAAAAAAAGAAAGAAAGTCCACCAACGCCATTTTATCATGCTCGTATCAACGTGATTGTCAGGGGTATTTTCGTTCTATAGAATTGAGTCAAGTCCATTGTCTTTTTTTTCCGTGCCTATATTGCTTTTTGACGTCCAACGCCTATTAAAAAAGAATAGGTTAAATAGCCTCCAGAGATTTCCAGAGGCCAAAGAGAGGCAAGAAGAGAAAAAACACCTGGCCGGTATCAAATCGTCATTTTTGTCGTGAGACGTGCTGTATTCCGTCTGAAAATCATTGCTTTTGTCTTTTTTTTTTCTCTATCCGATCTCCTTTGCTCGACGATGTTGGAAACCTTATATGTAGATTGTCGTGTGCGTGGTGAAGTATGTGGATGTCTGAAGTGAGAGGTGTCTTATGATTGATCGTGTGATCGTACATACACCATGTGCATGTCTATAGTCGTGATTCGTATTTTCTTTCGGGGAAACTCCTATGTTTATGTAAGGATGTGAAAACTCCGAGTGCTATGGACGTCCGTGGCTTTATACAATAGTCATTTTGGGGAATGTGGCGTGTCCTATTTCAGCCCTTTGCGTTGTATGCGGGACTGAAAAAAAGGAAGATAATTGGGATTACTCTATTGGAGTAGGAGAGGTGCGCAGAACAGGAACTCTAGTGAACGCGAATCGGTTGGCTGAAAGTTGTTCTGGTCACGACGTGTGTGTAAATAGCTTGGAGTAACGTTCAAATGATGGAAGTAGTTTTGAATGGTCAGGTCACTTTCATCAGCGATAATAGGGGAGTTAGGACCAGTAGGGACAGTCTTGGGAAGAATATGTCGAATGTTAAGCAACATCTTCAAAAGCTCCGTAAGTCCCTGTCCTTGGGTGGTGAAGTGGCTGGGTGGCTTCTCCAATGGCCACTTCGGTCGGAGATTCTCCTCATCCCATGCCTTGAATGCCCAAGTAGTTTTCTCCATACAATTAAGGAATAGCATTACTGTGAGAAACATGGGGAACCCAAGCTTCATCTTACCATCCTGTAGACTGCGCTGAATGCTACCAAGTAGATTCTTGCTAGCGGCGGAAGCTTTACGCTCGGCTGCTGCTGTGAGCTGCATGCAGATGTTGGTGTAGGCCTCGCTATCGGTATCGTCCTTAACCCAATAACCTTTAGCATCGTCCTTTGGCTCCTTTGCTAGCATGGTCCACTGACGTTCACGATCCATCATCTCGACAATACCCCACAGCTCAAGAGATCTTTGGAGTAATTCGTCATTGGTGGCGCCTGCAACCGCAACAGCAGTTTCGAGAGTGACGCGGACGTAGTGGGAGGGTTCACAGCGAATCAACTCCAAAAGAGCTTGGCGCATGTACTGTTCTACCTTGGTCGGAATGTCCTCGCTATTACTATCGAGAAGGACGACTCGACTAAGGCTGTCAGGCAGAATTTCATCACCTTCTTTCGGTGTTCCATTTAAGACCTGGAATACAGCCTTGGGGCCCGTCTCGGGAAAATGAGAAACTTCAACTGTTACACCAGTATTCTCTAGGTGGTGCGTTGTCTTACAACGGTTGATTCGTTTCTGAGCCATCACAGCCTGGACACCAGCTGAATAGAGGTCGATGTACTCAGAAAGCCTCGTTCGTACACATCCAGTATGCCATACTCGGGGAGATAAAACCTTCTTGCAAGCGTCGCAAGGTGTGCTGTTAGAGCACGTCTTTCGTAAAATTCGGCATCGAATGCACGCTCCAATGCGACGGACTTCCTGAACCTCCTTTCGCCGACGGGAGTCAAAGCGCGCTCGACTGTGTCGGTGACGGGCACCATTGACGCCATTGCTTGTGTCCATGCGAAGTCCACCTCTATTCAAAGTCGCGGCTAAGTGTTGACCATGATCATTGACGGTTGCTGGAGCGTGGATATCGTCAGGGATGTACGTCATGCCATCCCAAGGAGTGGAAGATCCATTTGTAGTAGCCGGTACATGTTGTCTCTCGGGCGAAGGAGGGTAGTTAATCATCATCTCAGTGGATTGATTCTGATGATGGCTAGTTTCGGGAACCGCCTCGTCTGTGAGAAGTTGAGGGTCTAGAAGTGAAGGATTGAGGCGTGCGGTCGCAGCGGCGGCAACAGACAATGTCGACTGGGTGGGCGATCCGGCGCTCGTGCTCTGTAAAAACTGCCTGAGTCGCTCCTCGTCGTGTGTGAGTTCGCTGTGGGGCAATTCGGGTGACTTTTGCGACGCATCCGTACCTGTTTGATTTATTATTAGTTTATGTTCACATAATCTCGAATTTCTCTTTCAACACGTACCCTCATTATCGCGATGCGTAGTATTATTGAAGCCCATGGGTGGATTCTCGAGGGAGAATTGCTCGTGTAACTCGAATGGGTTCGAGTTGGTTCTAGGTGGAACGGCGGCGGCAAGGGTGGTTCGGACGGCGTGTACAGCCGCCGACACGGGCTCTTGGGTGGTCGGTGTAGGATCATCGTGCTTCTCATTGGCCTCGATTTGTCGCGAGACTTCGGCAAGAGTTTCTAGGGGAGTCCATATTTGACTCTGGCTTTGGTCGATAGAGGGAGCCGGGAGAGAGTTGAGATTAGGAACGGCGGCAGGAGTAGGTGAAGGAGCGGGATTCGGACTCGAATGGATGAGACTGTCGTATTGAGATTGAGATTGGGACTGGTGTTGAGGTTGAGACTGGGCGCGATGAGACACGCCGTTAGTACGACCGCTCGAGTCGCCGTTATATCCATTCAGCGACAACAGAGCATTGACTCGGTCGGCTTCGGGGATGGCAGGACATTTTTTAGTCAAGTGAGCCGTAAGACTGTCAATTCGACCTTTCGGGAAGTCCTCGCCGCAAGCCTTGCAGCGATGATGATACCTATTACTATTATCCTTGAGCTTCTCACCACGCTCAAAATACTCGAGGATTAAAGGATTAGGTCGGCGACCCATCTTGTTGAATTCGCAATTTCGTGACTCGGCGCGATGATGGATAAATGATAAAGACTGGCAGAATTGTGAATGCGGTGAGTGAAGAAAGAAAAATGACGAATAGACGGAATACCCACCCGCCGTAACAAGCTACCCAGAAATTTTCAGCCCTGGTGGGGGTTTTTTAGAGTGTACCTGCGTGCTGTAATTTTTTTACCCCGCGGCGCGTTGCGTCAATGTCTTGTGAAACAGAATCATGTAATCAGACACGAACCGTTATTCATTTATAGGATATCAATAATATTATATAATCATACCGGTTTATATATATATTGCACTACAAAGGCTGTATGTTCCTATACCATATTAGAGTACCCCCCTCCCTCTTCTAAGTCTTAGAAAAGAAAAAGTGATGTCTTCAACAACTTTCAACTACTTCCATTAGAGACTAAGAAGCAACTGGAACTTGAGGTCTGCCGCCAATTGCTTCAGTACAAGATCTTAATAGTTTCTGGCTTATCAGAATGACATTCCAGCGGGTTGGAAACATGACGATACCGTCCTGATCTAATTCAATTCATGATATCCTCGAAAAGCAGCTTGCGTCGCTAGCAACTAAACTCGGATAACCGGCCCATGCAAGATCTAAGCACCTGGGCAATATCATGACTATGATTGGTTCTACTGGTGAACAAAGATCCCCAAGCACGCTGTGTGATGAGATTTAATGCGTTCTATTCGATGGGATAGCTACACAAGTTCAACTGCGAAGCAAACACCTGCCATTCTCGGAACTTATACGTTTGCTAATGAGTTGATAGTAGGATTCTTGTCCATGGCTAGGGTCGCAAACCACAAGTCAAAACAAGTTCAGACGACTTTAGCCTTGGGACTAATAATTAAGTCAACGGGAAATCGGAAACTACACTAGCATCAACCCTTGCTGATCTCTTAGTACATGTATAGTAAGACCTCAGACGAAGGAATACTAATAAAATACAGCACGTGCTACTAAAGAACGATGCAACCATCACCCGAAACTCAATTCTACTGTGAGGATAGTACACGATTATTAGGTCAGTACCTTCTCTACTTAGGTATTGATTATGGCTCCCTCTATATATCAATTCACGATGGAATAGGTATATTTTGATAGTCAGACTATCATGTATCTATTCGCTATGCTTACGAAATAGTAGCCTCACCTCCAGCTGCCAAGATTGGATGATCAAGGTTCTCCGGCGATGATCTCACTGCGCCTCAACCAAAACTCCACCCCAGCGGCCCTTTCATTATAGGTGTACCTAGCAGCTCTAGGTATGCACACTAGCTGCAGGGTTTCCCAAGAACCTGCCCATAATCTTGGTCAACGTTACAGCTGATGGAGCTATTGCCGTCCATTCCATCAGTTGAATGCACAATCCGATCCATAAGGATTCTAGTCCCTTTCTAGGCACCGTGGCTTGGGGAGTCTCTTTAATAGGTCTAATATTAGGTAGGTTCAGGAGGTGGGTGACTTATGCATACATTTCACACATTTAGGTATTATCCATGTCGTCAGCTATTTACCTTTTCATTTTTCTCTATTCACTGTCATTCTTTACTGGAGATATACCCAGTCTCTCTTTACGCGAGGTATATCCCGTCGCTACTTCGTACTCTTTAGATTATCTAGAGTATCTATATCTGTGTGGGAGCTGATCTGATGCCCAAACATTTTTCTTCATGTTTTGGTATCAGTCAATTTAATCAACTCTCCATCGTCACGATGCGTCCTTCTGCGGGCACAGCATTGGGTCTAGCGCTTTCTCAGGCTAATAGCATCCAAGCCCAAGAATTGAGTCAATATGTGTTGCCACTGGTAAGTTATTTAATATCCAATTGATACAAAGCGTTGAATATGTTTCAAAATTAATGTTTTCCATCAAAGACCGGCTCTGTCAATGGAGGAAACACATTTCCAGGTGTTTCCCTACCCTTCGGGATGGTGAAGTTGGGACCCGATTTATACACCGGATCGGATAGCTACTCGGGGTACCAGTCAACCGGTAGCTTCATCGGATTCAGTCTCTTGCATGAAAGTGGCACAGGTGGCGCGCCGAAATACGGAGTAGTCTCCCAAATGCCTGTCGTTGGCACAATCGACAACCCATTGACAAACCAAAGTGTTGGTCGAAGCAGCGCGGATGAGTCGAAATTAGGTTATTATAAGTCGAGTTTATCCAGCGGTGTTACTGTAGAGTTGGGTGCGACTGGTAAAGCCGGATTGTTTAAGTACCAATTTCCGGAAAACAAGGGCGATTCAAACATCGTTGTTGACGTTTCTCATGTGCTACCATCTTTTCGCGGTCAAGGTCTAGGTCAGAACTATCTTGGTGGAAACATATCCGTGACAACGACAGACGGTGGAGTGAAGTATCAAGGATCTGGTTCATATGACAACGTATGTCTACCGAAACTGAAAGGGGAAGCTATGAGAAATTGTTAACATATTTAGGGCTGGAATCGCGCTCCAAAATGGACGGTCTACTTTTGCGGCTATTTCGACCAGCCAGCCACGTTCAAGACATTCCTTGGTAAGGACTCGTCAGGCGAAGACTTAGTAGACTTTAGCGATGCGGATACACAAGACTCCGATGCCCGACTCGGTGCTGTCTTCACGTTCGATAGCACGGAAGTAACCTCGAGAGTGGGAGTTTCGTTCATTTCATCCGAGCAGGCCTGCGGCAATGTTGATAAAGAGATACCCTCAGGGACGGCTCTGGAAACTCTTGAAAACAATGTTGTTAAGGCGTGGAATGACCAAGTATTGTCGAAGATCACCACAACGGATACTTCCAATACCACCAGGCTTCAGCTTCTTTACTCGTCCTTATATCATATGTCCCTCATACCTACTAATAAAACTGGAGAGAATCCGCTTTGGTCGTCAAGTGAGCCCTACTACGACGATATCTTCACCTTCTGGGATCTGGTAGGTTGATTATTTACCCATTCATTGAATTGTATTGTCTAATCTGACGCAGTTCCGTTGCACGACGTCTCTTTTGCACATCCTGCAACCAGTAGTATACGAAGAATTCATCCGTTCGCTTATCGACATCTGGAGGAATGACGGTTTCTTGCCCGATGCACGATCTTCGTTTTTCAATGGTGCGACACAGGGTGGTTCTAACGCAGACAACATTCTTGCGGATGCTTATGTGAAGGGTGTTCGCGGTGCTATCAATTGGGATGACGCATATTCTGCCATGGTCACCGACGCCGAGACCGTACCTCCGAATAACAATGACTCGAGAGATAAGTCTTCCTCAACGAAGGAAGGACGAGGAGCTCTGCCGGATTGGATAGACCATGGGTACATCACCACGAAGTACGGACGCTCAGTCAGCCGTGCTATTGAATAGTAAGTAACATCTTAATTGTATCCATGTTAGTAGTTTATTGAGACTAACAAACTGCAGCGCTGGAAACGATTTCGGTCTTTATCAAGTTGCTAAGGGTCTAGGAAAGGGTGATGACGCGCAAAAGTATCTCAACCGATCGCGTAACTGGCGTAACCAGTGGAACCCAGACTTGGAGGCGTTGGGCTTTTCGGGTTTCCTCGGCCCCATTGACGAAGACGGCAATTTCCAGGACCAAGACCCGCTCAGCTGCGGCGGCTGCTACTGGGGTGATGACTACTACGAGGCTTTGCCGTATGAGTACTCGTTCAATGCGCATCACGATATGAATAAGTTGATTGAGCTTTCGGGCGGAAATGATAAATTCCTTGCGCGTCTCGAGAAGTTCTTCGAGGGCGGCGTGAGCTCCGGCAATTCTCAATTCAATCACACCCTGTTTAACCCGGGTAACGAGCCTAGCTTCACGTCTCCGTATCTATTCAATTTCGTCGGACGTCAGGACCTAACTGTCAAGCACAGCCGTTACGCCGCTAACAGCTACTACGCCCCGACCCCAGGTGGCCTCCCCGGAAACTCGGATGCTGGCGCTATGGAGTCGTGGGTCTTGTGGTCTATCATCGGACTATACCCCATCACGGGTCAGACTACATTCCTCATCGGCTCGCCTTGGTTTAAGGACTTGACTATCGATCTTGGTAATGCTAAGAAGGTATTGATCACAACTACTGGCGGTGGTGAGGATGCATATTATGTGCAATCGCTCAAGGTCAATGGGAAGAGTTGGGATAAGGCGTGGATTGCGTGGGAGGATGTGTTTGCTAATGGAGGAAGGTTGGACTTTGTGCTTGGGTCCGATCCTGTTAATTGGGCGACTGGCGATGCACCACCAAGCCCGGCGACGGGGAGTTCGTGAAAATAAAATCCGGGCGTTAAATATACATAACAAAAAAAGATTGAGAACGTAGATAGGGAATAACTTTAGTTCTTGTATATATAAAATATTGACGTATATATAAATATGGCAAAGCCGAATTATGTTCAGCAAAGTCATAATATACTTCAGTCAATTGTTCAACCTCAACGAGTTGTGTCTCAGCTCACTCTACATTTTAAATAGTGCTTTAGTTCTCTTGATTGATTAGGTTGATTTATTTCATCGAAGGTATCTAAATACCTTACGCACCGCGGTCGAAGACGCCATATACTCAATCACACGGCTAGAAACAACAATTTTCTCAACTTGCTTGATGTTTTGAAAGCATAAATACACCAGTATGCTCCGTACAAAACCAACATGGAATAGCCGTATGCGAAAAATCCAGGGTATCTAATAATAACGGCGCAAAAAACATTAAAGAGCAGTGCAGAACTAGCTAGTTGCAAATCACAAGCGATCGCTGTCCCAAACATTCCGAAACTCGTCCTCGTTGCCGGTATTGAAAATTGGACTTGTTGTGCCAGGCCCTGCTCCGTCGCCGCCCCATTGCCCGTTTTGTTGCCCTCCAGGGGTGACTTCGTCGGGTGTTGCATCTCCTACTTTAAATGTGGGATCTTCTTCCTCGGCCTCTTCTTCTAAAATCTGGGGATCCGATGTTGAGAGAACTGGAGCGCCGAGGGGCCCTTTTGATTGTGCTTCCTCAGCAGCGATAGCTGTTGGTTCTGGAGGAGATTTAGGTGTGGCTTTGGGTTGCTTCTGTTTATTTTTCTTTTTCTTTTTGCTGACCACTGTCTGGGCACTCGGAGACGTCGGAGCTGCAGGTCTGTTGCTGATGCTTTGTGTTGAGTGAGATCGGCTGGCATGCCAAGCCCCAGTACTCGATTGATATACTGGCTGCCTAGCGAGCCAACGCTCTCTCGTCGGCACATTTGCTGTAATAACAGGATACTTTGAAAATCAGTAATGAGTTTGATAAGGATGAAATCTGTTAATTCAACTTACATTCCAATCTCCAAACTCTAGGTCTCGCGCCTTGTGGTAGAGGCTCTCGTCGTCGGGATCCAATGGAGTCTCTTCTGTAGAACCGTGACTATACTTCGGCGTGGGGTCGCTAGCACCACTTGGACCCCCATCATTGTTTAAGAGCGGTGTATTCGCACTCATCTCTCCCCTAACTTCCCCGGGTTTGGGAATCCAATATTTTGCTTCACCACCTCGCTTATATCTCATACCGTCTTTCAATCTTGCGAATCGAGATGTAGAATCTTCGTGGGCAATGATTTTCCCGCTAGAATCGAACACTCTGTAACTGTACTGATCGCCTCGGAAAGTCTGTTTGGAGTCCTCAACAAGGTCGACAACACCAAAAGCATCCCTTGCTGCATATTTGACAGGTAGTCTAGCAGAAGAAATTGTGTTGTCAGCGTAATCATGCCAGGAGAAGGCATACCAATGTGCCACGGCAAATGCGGGCATCTCGCAACAGATCAAAGCGTCCTGAATTGCAGCAGCGAGATTGTCCGGAGTATACCCCTGAACATTGTCCGGAATGGCACCAAGCCAAACCAGAATGGAAAGGAGAAATCCTTGCCAGTATGAGGCGAAGATGATCAGTTTGATACAGAGAAACTTGGGCACGGGCCGGAATGGCACCAGATCTCTATGCATGCAGACCCAAAATAGACCCAGCGAGTACAGACTGACGGTCACGCTGATATTGTAGATAATGCCACTCCAGAGGTAGCCTGAAGACACCCCAATGTATCCTTCTTGGTAGATTCCTGTGGCCTTCATAATGATTGCGGCGACACCCAAGATGGGCTTAAGCCATGCGTATTGAAGGATGCCTCGCTTTATGGCTAAGAAAGTATAGGGGTCGGATATATCAACTTTCGGGAAGGCGTGGTTTAATGGCCACAGGTGGTGTACAGGTGCACGACCGTGTGCCATAATTATAAGGGCTCGTTCGCCATCGAGGTAGTTAATTAGGAGTTGGAAGAAAGTATAGATCGTGAAAGCCTTTTGTTGCCAGCAATGTCAGCCTAATATGTTGCTTAGGAGAAAGACTACTGCATTCGTACCTCATATATGTCCCTTATTGGGTCTAGAAACGCGGCTGAGGCCAAAGATACCATACTAACCCAAGAACTTATAGAGTATATGGGGACCCTGATAACATCAGCCTAGTACGAGTGGGATGAACTTCTGATTATTCTCACATCAACAATATTCGCACGACATATCGTTGTAGCAGTGGTTTTCGGTAATTCTTTCTATATAGACGTTTAACGAAATGCACGATCATCGCGGGATCAAGGGGGGACATACAATTGGAGCCATATCGAACTATATCAGTACTACGTTAGTTATTCTCCTTTATTGAACAATAGTAAATGGATAGGGCCTACACAATAGACATCAAAGTAGCCGCCAGAGAAAATACACCAGCAATAATGGTTGCGGCCGTCCCAAACTTTTGGCCGGTGCCTCCAGCCATGTTGTCGGGTTGAGACAACCGGACAAAGATACGTTTCTCCGCCTACGGAACCAGTAAGAAACTCAGCAGTGCATGGTCGAAAAGCGTTGTGTCGTTGTAGATATGTAAATCGACGCGTGGAAATTAAGTATTTGGTAGTGGGAGGAAAATGGATGAAATGGTTGTCATTTGATCAAGAATTCGAGGATGCCTGTAGGTGCCAGTCACTGTAATTCCAGGGAAGTACGTACCTATATGTACCTAATCAATCATACATGGCACGCATCGTCGTGTACGTAGTTGTGCTACCACATGCATCCATGAAGCTTATGTGGGTGGGTTGCCGTTTGGGGATAATCGATAAGCACTTGTAAATTCGGAGTAAACGATTCGACTTAATTATGAATCTCCACTAAAACGGGATGCTGCTGCAACGCTAGTTGGTTCGCTCCTCACCTCGGCTTGCCGCGCTTGCTTACCTATCCCTGTCCGTCACGCGTCATGCATACAATCTAATCTACATGTAGCCGTGTTGAATTGTTCTTATTTTACTTTCATTTTCTAATGTACTCAAGTACTGTTGGATTCCGATCTACTTTCCATTGGAACCAAATCTGATGATATTCACAACTCCAGAACCCTTGTCGTCGAGTAACCTACCTTTCCGCCAAATGTCCAATGCGAAATAGTACTCCTTCGAGGAGGCGTCGCCACTCGATCGAAGACTATGGCTTGGAGCTTAATGCTATATGTACCTAGGATCGTGGAGAGGAGAGTTTAGACGACACAAATCGTAGGGGGTGTTTGGGGGGTCGGGGAGGGCTGAAGTTACCATGGCTAACAACATCGTGCCGAGCTGGCACGACTTCAATGGGTAGGTTACGCCATGTTATTACTAGGAGAGATATCTCGAATACATCGGAACTGACAAGGCACAGCCAATTCCTAGCTTATATCATAGTCTGTGGTGTTCTGTAAGTTACTTATGTCGCATACCTTATATAATCCCTTTTTATGTGACTAATGTTTAAAGTGCCGTCTTCTTCCTGCTATACTTTAACAGAGTATTCGCCTCCATCGTCTCGTACATCATTCGCGCCTACACGTGGCATAGATACCGGGTCTACATCGATATTCAAGCGTTGCAGTGGTCTTTGCTCGGCGGTCGCATATTCTTCACCGGCCTTCGATACCACGGAAATAACGAAACGATTATTATTCAAAATGGACACCTCACCTGGTCTTACTGGTTGCGTAGGGTGCGAGACGTTGGAGTCGGCGCTGGGGAAAGGGATGCAAAGTCTCGGGACGGTAAAACGCTAAGCGCTAGCAAACTTCCTTGCCGTGTCAATATTGCCGTGTCTGGGTTGGAGTGGTTTGTTTACAATCGCAGCGCTGCCTACGATTCCATACTCGATGCGATGACTGTTTCCCTCCAATCCGAACATAACAATACTATAGACGGGACTGAAAGTATCGCAAATAGCTCAGTCAAACCGAGACAGCGGCTTCACAAATCTTCCGAGAAGGATGATCAGTCTAAGGAGATTGGCTTGGGTTTTATTGACGAGAAAGATGGCTTCGAAGCCCACAAGAAAAGAGCCTCAAGCTCGACGATCGATGCCTCGAATGATGACCACGAAACGACAGATAAGGATGATCTCCCTTTGATGTTGCAGTTGTTTCCAATACATTTTGAATGCAACAGAGCGGCTCTTGTGATGGGGAACGAAAATACCAAATCAATCCTAATCGTAAAGACCCAGTCCTTGTCAGGAGAGGCGGATGCGACCGACACTCAGACTCCTGATCCCTACCAGCAAGTCTTCAAGATCGATTTTGAAAATCCGGTGGTTGAAATGAAAGAGAATGATGGTTTCAAGGAAGAGCAATTTGCTAGGGCTATCAAAGATGAGCAAGTAGCAAAAGGATCCAGTCCCGTCCAGAACCGACCGTCTTTTCGAAAACAGCGTCGCAAAGTGCTCGGGCAATTACGAAACTTGATTCCATATTGGAGGAAGTCTGTTGAATCGTTCTCGGTGAATTCGCAAGATGGTGAAGAAGAGTCGAAGGAAACACGTATCCCTGGTTCTGGTCAGTGGCAAGGGCTTTCTCGATATCTCAATGATGATGACGAAGATGACAGGCTTCGATGGTCTTCGGTAGAGTACGGAAGCGTGAATCCCGTGGCCGAAAGCCCTGGGGCTACACTAACGATACTTTGGGATGTTCCTGGGAAAGTTGCACCGCGGGACATATTACGTCCTAAGAGTGAAGACGGTTCTTTGGAGGACATCAACGGAACCACAGCACCAGCTTGGGCCATTAAGCTATCCTTGAAAGGTGGCGCAATCAACTACGGACCCTGGGCAGACAGGCAACGAGCCGAATTACAGAGGGTATTCTTTCCTGGTGTATGCAAAGATGCGAAGCCTGCACAGAGATTATTCCCTGGTGCAGACCGTGTGCCTACGCAGTTCAACTTCTATTTGGAACTTGATGAAGAAGTTGTGGTTAGAGTTCCCACGCGCGAAGATTCGAAGAATTGGAAGTGGAAAAAAGATCCGCCAGAATCAAAAGAGTATCGCAAACAAGGAAATCGGCGAGAACGAGGGCGTAATCGAAAATCCGCTGCGGCTACAGCAGCGGAGCAACGCCCCTGTGGTTGGTTAGATATCAAGGTTGCGCCAAATGCTACAGTTTCGTATGCTATGGACATGTTGGCGAAATCCACTGGATATACGAATACATTAAAGATTGATCTTCCAACAACAGAAGTTTCAACCAGTGTCAATCATGGACTCCTATGGAAATCCGGGCGTCAACAAATTTCCTGCGACTTGTCTACGCCTCTTAAATGGAATGGCCTCCGAACCTGGCGGTTTGATATCGAGAGTGACGAATTCGAACTTTTCATTCTAAGAGATCACATATTTTTACTCATAGATCTTATAGATGACTGGGGAAGTGGTCCGCCTTCCGAATATCTCCTATTCACTCCGTTCAGATATTTATTGAATTTACGACTTCGCAACTTAAACCTTTACCTCAACATTAACGACGTGAATATTGTCAACGATCCCACCAAATTTGACGAAAACACGTATTTAGTTCTATCTACCCCGTGCTTAGTAGCAGATACTTGCATCCCGATAGATAACTATCGCCCTGCGACGAACGCGATCGGTTTCCAAATTGCAGTTGATCCCCCACATCTCAATCTCCATGTGCCTCCATGGAATACCCAGGCAACATTCATGACTTCGAAAGAGATAGGACACTTGGAGAGCCTGACCATCGAAGGGAAATATCATTATAACTCTACAACCTCACCCGCGAATACCGATACGCTGACTCTTGATGTTTCTGGACAGTCTCCCACTGTCTACCTCTACGGCTTCCTTGTTCGTTATTTCCTGCAAATGAAGGACAATTACTTCGGCGACCATGTTCATTTTAGGACCTTGGACGAATATCAGGAAACCCTCCGGGCAAAAGGAGCTGATCCGGATGCCCGATCTGCAGACCGCCCTCCACACAAGAAATCGAATGATTTAGATGTCATATTGAGTATCCGTGCTGATGAACCCAAGATATTTTTACCCGCAAACATGTATTCCGCTAAACGTAATATCCCTATTGAGGCAGCCTCATTAGCTCTGGATCTCCGTTTCACCAATTATTACATGGATCTCGATTTGTGCCTTAGCCCCCTAAGTTTATCTCTTGGGGATGAAGACGGAGGTGCATCTAGCCCAACGAGCACAATATCAAGCACTCAGCTATTTGTGGATGGTCTCGATATCCATGGCCATCGTCTGTTCGGTCTACCACCTACTGAACCGACATATCTGTGTAATTGGGACATAAAAGCCGGATCTGTTACCGGGGATTGTTCAAGTGATTTTCTGACCACTCTCATGGCGGGAGGCAAAGCCTTTGGTTTCACTCTCGATGACGATGAGAACGCATTGATCCCCTATTCGTCCATAGTTTTGTATGATGTGACCTTCTTACGAGTCTTCGTTGATTCAATTCGTGTTTGGTTGCATGTGGATGAAGCCGCCTTTTTATTCTCTACGGGAACAATCGATGTTCTTTTCAATGATTGGGCCAGGACACATTACTCCAGACGTGCTGACGTTAAGGTACCTGATCTTGAGATCGCCTGCGTCAACTCGGAGTCTGCTGCGAGACACAGGTCGCGACTCCGTCCTCATGTTGATACCAATGTGTTTCTTCGAACGAATGTACATTTTGCGCTTATCGGACGGAAATACGACTTCGCGCAGGAAAGGCGGTTGCAACAAGAACTTGTACGCCGTCATGACCAACGAACACACCGTACCGACTTTTTATTACTTCTGGGTCTTCGAGATGATTCGAACCCCGATGCTGTTGATATTCCTGCGCAGAGTGTTCCGCCGATCCCTCAACCAGCGTTGTCTGGAGCTGTTGCCGACAAGGAGTCAATATTATCCTTAGATTCTTCACAGCATTCTACGAGGCTTCGTCATAAGAATTCATTTCTTTCGTTAGCTAGTTCGAACAACGGTAGCGTTTTACGGCCAGGTTCAATCAGGGCTACCCAACGATCTCAAGCTTCTGGCCGTGCTGCTCCGGATTCTATGGTACTTAGGGGTAGGGAACCAAAGCACAACATTAGCCCTCGGGACAATTCGGCTTCGGCTGCGCGCCATTCGGCACCCCTTAGTGCCTATAGTGAGACTGGAGATAGGAGGGACCACCCCCATACCAGCATCAGTTTTTCGAGTCAATATTTTGCCCCCTTCTTTCCTCTGCAGGGCGTTCGACCAGATGCGAAAGAGGCGATGTTACATTCCGCCAACGAAGACGGAAATGAAGACCTACTAAATTCTTCGGATTTTAGTTTGGAAAACTTGCACCCTGATCAATTAAGTCAGGATTCTGCTCACCAGAGTCTCCTCCTTGAACTTCCCTCTGGAGTCAACGTGTTCCTCAATGCTCCATCTTTGCGGTGTATAGCATCATTGATACGAGCCATATCGCCTTCTGACCCCGAAGATATACTAGACACTCTGCAAATCGGAGCAGTCACGAACATATTCGATGCGGAAAAGCAAGCAAAGATAAACGGGTCGATCACAGATTTCATCGTGCGACTCCCCCAGGCGAATGTGCGTTTTCTCAATTGCTCCAATGCTGACCCCGCCGATTCATCGCAAGAGCCACAAGATCAATACGATGTATCGCTTAAAACTCTTGTGCTTGCTGCTCGATCCGGATCACGGGCCGATGCGAATGATGATGATTCTGGCGGCGGGAACTCTCGAATGGCATTCCATTTCCGTCTAGCGTCTTTAGAGCTTTCGGCGGCTGAGAGACTTTCTAGTTTGGACCAGACGCAAGCTGCCGTGTTAGCTCGGATAGAAGGAGTTTCGGTTTATATGGGCTCGAAGGACGTAAAATATGTCGATGCAGATGTCGGTGCGGTCAATGTTTCTTCGTCTTCGGGCAGGGTTGAATATCTTGCTTCGCTGATTCACAGGACTGGTGTGCTTGCGTCTGACACGGCGAAGTGCTTCTCTAACACCTTTTCAACTGCGGATGAACGTCTCAAACAATTTACATACCGCGTCATAACTGAAGGGTTCAGTGCGAGTGACGCTTCTTTTGTCGTCCGGCCTTCAGCTATCTTGCGAACAGCAACTAAACACCTTAGAACCTATGATTCTTGGAAACTCGTTACCAGATTGCGCCAGATGTGGTCTACGTTGGATCCCGATACAAAGGAGAGCTTAAGACGAGATTGTCTATTCGGATTTCAAAATGAAACCACCGATTTGAGACATCAAGTCACCGCAGCTTTTGAGCGATGGCGGAGTTGGGATCTGGATGACCCAAAACATGCAGTACTCCTAGACAACATCTTTGGTAAAGCGTCTGAATCGAATAAGCAACCGTCCGATCAAATACCCATCAGAGCCGTGGCCAAAATTCAAGAGATACAGCTCGTCCTCGATCCTGGCCCTAAACAGAACGAAATTTTCGTATTAGATCTCAGCATGAGAGTTCAAGAGGAATTCAGCAGCCGCGAGATTACCAATGGGAAATCTATCGACTTTAAAGAGCCGCTCACAATCGTTAATATACACTGCGGCGATGCAGGTATTAAGTCGAATTGGGAGCTTTGTGAACTTGCAGATGACATTCTTCGGCTTTACAAGAAGGTTGATTCTTCAAAATCTGAAGAGCTGCAGGCTGAACAGCAGGACAAACACGAACCTGCACCTTCTCGCCCACTCCACGTAGTATTTGTACTAGCAGAAGGCCTGATCTCTATCGAGACGATTAACCTAAGTGCTAAGCTTCAGAGTTCTAATCTCAAGCTCTCGGCGCTTATGACCAGCGGACTACGTGGAACCACGAATTCGAATATTATCTTAGGATGCGAATCGGCTTCCGCAAGAGTTAAGAGCCATTCGCAAGTTCTCACGACTTTCCAACTTCAACGTCCGAGCGTTATTGTTGCACATGAATTGCAGTTCGATAAGCAGTCCTCAACTCATACGATTAGATCAGCCGCCAGCAGTCAGAATCTAGAATTTATCATAAAGCAAGACCCCATTGTGTTGGCCGAGGTTCTAGATCTGGTAGTGAGAGACGAGGTCGCCCAGCTCTATGCATTAGGACAGAGACTCCCTTCAGAACCTAGAGTAAAGCCTCAAGAGCGCAAAGGAGGGCGACTCTCCAGTTTCCGAGTCAACCTGGCGATGTTTCTGGACAAATATACTATTACGATACCGTTGCTTCAGTCTCTAACTTACACCATCTCTGGTCAAGTCGCACGGGCAAATATGGATGCTAATTTTGGCAAGGAGGTGATACTTGATTTTGACATCAAAGAAAACTTTCACAACATACGAATCAATGTGAACAAAACGCCCCGTAGCATTTCCTTGTTGGAAATTCCCCCAACGAACGGCCGCATAACCAGCCATATGTCTCCAGGAGAACATTCAGTCACAGCGATATTTTCGCTGGAACTTATACAACTGGATGCCTCAGCTGTCTATAGTTTGCTCACCGCCCTCAATCGCCCTGAGATATCAAACGCTATCAACGATATTCAAGAACAAGGCAGAATTATACAAGAGCATATCGAGGAAATCTTTGGCACTACGAGGGCCGAAATAGAAAAGTCGGCATTACCAGAACCCAACGATTCCAAGTTGGTCTATGCGGTTCATGGTAGCCTTGCTGGGCTCCAGATATGGGGCAACGCACCTATTAAATCGGATTCTGAACCATCGGCGCGCTTGTCGTTCTGTCTAGATACAGTCCTAGTACAGCTTGCAAATAAGAGAGACGGGGGTCCAATTTTGGAAAACCCAGAAATACATATCAATCTTCACCAGATTTTGTTTAATATCGAGAAAGGTTTTGATGAGGAAATGAGATCCTGTGGCAATCTTGCCTTCGGCGCATTGATTACCGCCACAACTCGCGAGTCAGAAGATGGAAAGGAGATGAGATCGTTCGACTTCAAATCTAACGGCTTCGAGGTAAACTTCTCATCAGACACCATATCAACGTTCATAGACGTGTTCGGCTACATGGGTGACAAGATCAAGGACATTGATACGTCGCGCGAGCTTGAATATCTGCGAAAGTTAAGACAGTCTAAACCTCGAATTGCGATTAATGACGAGGAGCAAGAAACGGAAAGCGATATCCTGGACTCATTCCTCTCTTCCATCATGTATTCATTCGAGATTCGGAACATTCAACTTTGCTGGCAGATTTCTACCGTAAACCAACCTACAACAGGACAGGAGGACCTAGTTCTATCATTCCAACGAATTGAATTTGCCACGCGAAAGAGGAGCTCGGCGAAGCTGACTATTGAGGATTTCCAATTACAGATGGTTCCGCCGGGCCAAGAAAAAACCCGCCGATCACTTAATTCGGCCCTCCTACCAGAAGTGATTTTCAACATTGCCTTCGTTTCAACAGCCGACGCTCGCCGTCTAGCCTTCCAAGCGGTGGGTAAGTCACTAGATTTACGATTAACTTCCGCTTTCATCGTCCCAGCGGCACATTTACAAGACTCCATCAGTCTATCAGTGAAGAATGTTCAGCAAGCTTCAGAACATTGGGCGCCAATAGTTATGCCAGAGAAGAAGATCAAGGGCCCAACTGATGATGTAGTTGAAATCAGACGTTCACTGTTTGGAAGCAGAAGACTGGAGTCGCTTTTGATTGATGCTGACTTTGCCGGAGCGGTTGTGCACCTTTCCGGGAAAAGAGCTACGGAAGAGTTGAGTGCATCGGCTGGTCTAAAGCCAGAAAGACCTACTCTCGCTGGTAAATATGGACAGTTTAATGCCGATGAAGCTGGCAACAGCATGGTACTTCGTACTCCTGGTTTGGCTTGGAAAACCGAATACAGAGATAATGGTCGAGAAGATCCGACCCTATATGGAGAGATTAAGATTGACCCGTCGCGAAATATCCTCTATCCAACTATTGTTCCTCTTGTCATGGACATTACGTCTAGTATCAAGGAAGTTGTTGGCGATGATGCGCCGGAGTCGCCAACAGCGCAAACAGTATCGAGCGAAGATCAGGGCAAACCGAAGTCTAACAGCGAAGAAAACAATATTCTCACAGCAGATCCAAGCGCAGTGTTAGGACGTGTGAAACTTAACTTGGGTCTGCGTATTTGCAAACAGGAGTTTACTCTCAGCTGTCAGCCTATTGGACGAGTTGCTGCCACAGCTCGATTCGATGATATTTATATCACAACGAATACGGTTCATTCGGTAGAACACGGAAACTTCTTCGCTATTTCTGGTACTTTTAGCGGATTTCACACGTCTGTACAGCACGTATACTCTCGAGAATCCACAGGCAGTTTCCAAGTTGATTCAATCGTCCTCTCCATGATGAACAGCAAGCACGTCAGTGGCACAAGTGGCGTCTCGGCTATTCTAAAAGTAAGTCCGATGGAGGTGGCGATCAATGCCAAGCAACTCCAGGATTTCTTGCTCTTCCGAGAAATATGGATGCCTCGAGAAGTGAGACAAGGTACAACGGCACCTGTTGCGACAGTCACATCGGAATCAATAGCGCAGGGTCATCTTGTACAAAGATACCAGCAAGTTGCCGCCACAGCAGCATTTCCTTGGACAGCCACAATTTCTATTGCTTCCCTCAATGTTACCGTCGATCTTGGACAATCTCTAGGCAAGTCCAAATTTGCTATAACCGAGTTCTGGGTCTCGTCCAAGAAAACATCGGATTGGGAGCAAAACCTCTGCCTTGGATTTGAAAGAATCGGTGTGGACTGCACCGGTCGACTAAGCGGGTTCGTTACTCTTCAGAACTTCAAGCTGCGCACGTCAATTGAATGGCCAGAGCGTGAACAAGCATTAAATGAAACTCCGAGAATCCAAGCCTCTATTGGTTTCAGTCAATTCAGACTCAAAGCCGCATTCGATTACCAAGCTTTCCTAGTCGCCGATATTACGAAGATGGAATTCCTTATGTACAATGTTCGTCAGGAAAGGAAAGCATCTGGCGATAGACTCGTAGCAACTCTCGACGGAGAAGCCGTCCAAATATTTGGCACTACGTCCTCTGCAGCTCAAAGCGTTGGTTTATGGCAAGCCATCCAGAAATTAATCCAAGAGAGGAGATCAAATTACGAGACCTCGCTCCGCGAAATCGAAAGATATATGAAGAGAAAATCGTTGACAACACAACCATCTACTCTGTCAACTACCCCAAGCAAAACACAAGCCGACAAATCTGACATAACGTCCCCTATATCTCTTAATACAGACGTTGTAGTGACACTGAAGGCACTCAATCTCGGCATTTTCCCAAGCACATTCTCAGATCATCAGGTCTTCAAGTTAGAAGCTCTGAATGCGCAAGCGAGATTCGCGGCAAACATGGAAGACAAGCACATTCGAAGCGACTTAGGCATGACTCTCGGCCAACTGCGCATAGGACTCGCAGGTGTACGTAGAATCGAAGCACCGAAAGCAGCTAGCGAGATCTCCGTCGAAGATGTAGTAGCCAGCGCCACAGGCTCTAGAGGCGGAACCATCCTCAAGGTCCCCAAGGTCGAAGCTATGATGCGAACTAGGCAGAAACCAGAATCCCGCACTATCGAATACATATTCAAGAGCTCCTTCGAGGGTAAGGTCGAAGTCGGTTGGAATTACTCACGCATCAGTTATATCCGCGGGATGTGGGCAAATCACACCAAAGCCCTAGCACAGACTTGGGGCCGCGAGATCCCGGCCATGTCGGCGATTAAAGTGACGGGTGTCCCAGAGCCCGAACAAGAAAGGAAAGAAGGTGGTGAACGCCAGAAGATCACGGCAGAAGTCAACGTCCCACAATCTAAATACGAATACATAGCGCTCGAACCACCTGTCATTGAGACACCACAGCTACGAGATATGGGTGAGGCTACACCACCGTTAGAGTGGATTGGTCTTCACAGGGATCGTCTACCAAATCTTACGCACCAGATCGTTATTGTTTCACTACTTGAGTTAGCAGGTGAGGTTGAAGATGCTTATGCGAAGATATTAGGGTCTTCATGATACATTTTATAAGGGGAAGAAAGGGGGAGAAAGGGGGAGAAATTAATGATAATAAAGATTGAGTTATAGCATAAAGGAGGTAGGGAGGGAAGATAGAAAACATCGTTCATCAATTCTCTCAGTCGATCAATTAGCATAGCAGGGCGTATTAGGGAAATCATTTTTATTTTGTTTTCGGTGAGGGGAAAGGAATAGAAGGACAGACAGACATACACATAATGAAATAGTTGCAATTTGGAATTGCCGATAAAGAATAGCATTTTTCTCTTGTATGATTAATTCGCATGTTTAAGTTTGAATTGTGTATAGTCAATGCCTAATGCAGTGCTAACAAACATCAAAAATATTCTAAATTAATACACATCCACCCGTATCAAACTACTTTAATGTGACTTCCTTTTTGCGTCATTGAGGGGGCAGTAGCTATGCCAGAAGACAATACGGTGAGGGATGAAAGGTTGGCTCAATCTATAAACGGACGGAATTTCACATTGAACAATACTTATGAGGCGTTATTTTCAGTCACATAGCACAATGTATTCATCTTAAAATCATCATCAATTGCGTCGAAAGTACATGCAAGGCAGGTGTATGATAGCTAATGAAAGTTCCGCGTTCAATGCTTTGCGTAGCTTTTCCGTATCCACGGCCGCAGATTATTCTTTTCCGATCTGCTGGAGATCGCATTATCCATGTAACAGACCCAGAATGTACTGAACCGTCCCATGATATTCGCCAAAAATGGCGCTAGGTCGTAGTCTATAGAGCATTGAAAGAACCCATTTATAGCTTGTCGTAGTACTATTATTATTGTTAGCGTATAATCAATCGTAATGAATATAGATGTGGTACTTACGTTGCTGACGTCCGGTACCTCGACCTTGATACCCTTGCGCTTACGCATCGTCTCGACGATCTGTCCGACCTTGGAGGTCTTGTCGAGAGGAGATCCACCAGGCAGTGATTGCCAGTGGTCGAAGACCAGTTGAGGGAAAGCCTGACCGGAAGTGGCTTGTCGGAGATCACCGTTGAAGCCGAAAGACTCCATGACGGGTAGGTAAGCCTTGATGGTGAAGAGAGGAGTACCAGGGCGCTGCTCTTCGTTGAAGACGTGACCTCTTCTTCGGGTAAGGACACCGTAGACACCACCCATGGCCTGCTCGGGCACTTGGATTTCGACCAAGAAGACGGGCTCCTGGAGTGCGGGGTCGGCAAGCAGGGTAGCAGCGTACAGAACACGTCGAGCAGTCGGGATAATTTGACCACCACCACGGTGGATGGCATCAGCGTGAAGCGTAACATCGAGGATGTTGAATCGAACAGATCGCATGGGTTCCTCAGCGACGGGACCCTCACGAGAAGCCCACTGGAAACCGGAGACAACGGAATCCTTGATTTCGTTGAGGTATTGCACGGCCTTGGTCTGGTCGACTAGCAAGTTGGCACCAATGGTGTCGGGACCGAAACACCAAATCTTTCGGGCATCGGTAACATCCCAACCGAAGTCGTCAGCAAGGATACGGGCACGGGCCTTGAAATCGTCACGGGGTCCAATCTTGCCATCCTCAATGGCCTGGGCAAGCTCCTCATCCATAGGCTCAGCAACCATGTACAGACGGTTGTGCTTGTTGGGGGACTTGGAGAGAGCAGTAATGCTGGACTTGCCAGCAACGGTCTCTCGGTACTGAACAACAGGGTCGGAGAAAATAAGAGGAACACCGGCGTGGTCCTCCTCAAGATCCTTCAAGCAAATCTCGAGATGCAACTCACCAGCACCGGCAACGACGTGTTCACCGGATTCGGTGGTTGTGGTCAGGACACAAGGGTCAGACTTGGATAGACGCTTAAGACCTTCGACGAGCTTGGGAAGATCCTGAGCGTTCTTGACCTGGACAGATCGTTGCACGACAGGGGAGACAGAGAACTTCATGACCTTCAGGTTGTGCGCTGTGTCGAGAGTGGTGAGGGTACCAGACTTGAGGAGGAACTGGTCGATACCGACAAGACCAACAATGTTACCAGCAGGCATGTCGTCAATAGGCTCGACCTTGCCACCCATCATCAACACTGTACGCTGGATAGCCTTGACGAACAGATCCTCCTTCTTTCCAGGGGTGTAGTTGGGGCCCTGGATGCGGACCTTGAGACCGGATCGGACGGTACCGGAGAAGACACGACCGAAAGCGTAGAAACGACCCTTATCGGAGGTCGGCACCATCTTAGAGACGTAAAGCATGAGGGGACCCTTAGGATCACAGTCACGGATACCAATGGCAGCCTCGTCATCAGGGGGACCCTCGTACAGAGTCTCGGAACGGTACTTCTGGGCGGTAACGGGAGAAGGTAGGTGGAGAATCATCATTTCCAGAAGCGAGTCGGCAGCGGGAAGGAAAGTTCTCATGACAGCCTTCAATAGCTGCTTGCCCTCCTTGTCCTTGTCCTCGGTAGGTAGCTTGAGTTCAAGTTTGGAGAGAAGAGTGGTGATCTCGTCCTTCTTGAAGTTCATGACGGCCGAGAAGATCTTGAAGATCGGGTCAAGGATGAACTGGTTGAAGGCACGCTCTAGTTGCTTGCCATCGTGAGTACCCTTGTTGGTCCACTTCTTGGTGGCGGCGTTGAAGTAGTTGTCACCCTAATCTAATAGTTAGTAATTTGCGTGATGAATCCCAATCTAAACAACCAAAGTAAAACTCACCCATAGACGCTCCATCATCTTGTTTCGGTCAACACCGAACTTCTTGGCATATCGAGTAGCAAACTGACGGATAGTGAAAGCCCAACCGTGAAGACCAGAGCCGAAAGCAATAGTACCCTTCTCAGGGTAGACCTGGAGGTCACCAAGTGACTTGTCAAGGTAGGTGGAGATAATGACGTTAACGGACTCAATGGTTCGCGAGAATGACTGGTACAAGTCCTCCTTGGAAACCTGAAGCTCGAGAAGAGCACGGTCAACCTTGTTGATGACAACAACAGGCTTAATGCGCTCAGAGAGGGCCTGTCGCAAGACGGTCTCAGTCTGGACACAGACACCCTCGATGGTGTCGACGACGACGAGGGCACCGTCAGTGACACGAAGGGCAGCGGTAACTTCAGAAGAGAAATCGACGTGACCGGGCGAGTCGATCAGGTTGATCAAGAAATCTCGGCCATCGGCCTTCTGGCCAACAATGTCCTTCAAGTCCTCATCGGTAGGTAGGTTACCGTATAGGGAGATGGCGGTGGACTTAATGGTGATACCACGTTCCTGCTCGTCAGCTCTTGTATCTGTGGCTCGAGCATCACCAGCTTTTGCGGTGGAGATGATACCAGCTTTAGCCAAGAGCGAGTCGGTCAGGGTAGATTTGCCGTGGTCGACGTGGGCAATGACGGACATGTTACGGACATTGGTAGGCTTGTCCATCAATTGCCTGATCTCGTCGATCGTGAAGCTATTCGGAAGCGCATTGTTAGCAACTTGATGCGGAAATGGATGTAACGGAGCTTATCTCCGGGTGGGGTTGATCTTTGGGCATCACGGAGGGGCAGAGAAGGGTACTGATTTTATTTTTTTCCCTTGCTTTCCTTCTTTCGCGCAAAGATGTCGCGCGATGATAGAATGAAGCACGGTGAGATGGATATAAATGTTAAATGAGAAGAAGAGAATATGATGAACTTACTTGACCATCTTGACGGTATTGATAGGAAAACTCTGCTATGTGTTTTTTTTTTTTTTTATTTAATGGTCGACGATGTGTAAAGTCGACACACAAAGGCGGGGTGGGAGATCTGTATCGATCGATGGAAGTGGGCTGTATGCACTTCTCGATGATTCAAATCACCAACGACCTCTTCTAGAGAGTATCAGTTGATGTTTGAAAAGGTGAAAAAGAAAGATAGAAGACGAAGCAGTAGATGCAAAGTCGCAAGCAACCACCGACGACCAAGCTTGTTCGTGCTTCGAGGGAAAGGAAAATTTGTCGGGGCAAAAAGATTGAAGAGAAGGAGGGGTACAAGAGGAGAAAATTGTATTGCCAATGGCGGGTCTGCGGGCGCGGGCTAAGCTAAGCTAAGCTAAGCGGGGCAAAGGTCTGCAAGCTTATTATTTTGTCTGCCCATCGTCCCGAAAAGTGACATCAATTATTTGTACTGTAAATTGTATGTATGTACATACCTAGGTACCGTTTGTGGTCTTGGTGCGCTTGGTGGGGCAAACCGTAATTCCTTGCAAGTTACAGGCGGCGGCAAATTCACGGGAGAATAACTAGCCGGGAAAGAAAAAAAAATAATTTCAAGCTTATCGAGGGTTCTAGCCCTGTTTTTTTTTTTTTTTAGAGGTTTTCTAAGTAGGAAGGTACTTTTTGTTTGTAGGAAACTTCACATTGCGGGAAGTACTTCTCTGAACGGTTTTGTCTAATTCTGCGACTCTGAATGGATTCTTATCGATCCAAAAATCTCACACATTGTTATCATTACCACATATAATGGAAATCGTACGAGACACAATGTCCTCGTCTTATACAACTCCCAAATTGGTAAGCTACGTTTATACCTACCTAGGTACCTAGGTAGGTACGTAAGTAAACTCATGGTTGGCTTGGTAAGCCCCATTCTACTAAGGCGAATACTCATAGCATGGTTCTATTCGGTGTGACTACCTAGGGACTTCTCCATACTATGCTGCAAAACAGATGGATCGACCCATGAAATTATGCATGCACGATCTTTACAAGTTCTACATCTGTCTTCAGCTGTGACTCGAGATCATAGACACCAAAATTCACCGCATAGCTTATGTCTCAGAGTCAAGCAATGCGTCATTTCTAAGCCCTACAATATAACATTTCTTATCGCTGGTTTGTAGTAATTCAATAGGGTTATTAAATACACTAAGTGACTCACGTAGGCCCTAACCCTACGTTTAATCTCTAAGATCTAATGGGAGGTTTCACTTGATAATCTATATACTGAGGGAAAACAGTTACGAGTAATACAACAGTAGCTACGAAGGGGCATGCCCTTTGGCTTGCCTCTCATCATTGGTTATCATCCACTCATTGTGAGTGGCTATTATGTCTGACATATGGTACTGGACATACGAAGAATACAATCAATATCAACAAAAATCATCAGCAAAAAATACATAGCCGTCAAGTAAGCGATGTGAATTAGGGAAGCGTGTATATTCTATGCTACTTATTAATATTTAGGGCTGTTCTGGTGACGGGATGATAATTCTACGCCTACTATGATAGATAGGCTTGGTCAGCTCCTTTTCACTTTACCAGACCAATACTCTCTTAATTCAATGTTACTATCAACCCGGCGATGGTAAAAGCTGACATATGTACAATCTCTGAGCCATCTACCAAGTCATCTGATGCAGCAGGGCTACTGCTAGGTATCATTTTTGCATCCCGTCTCGCTACCACTCTGCGCCATCACGCCACCCCACGCCCAATAAATCTAGGCCATTGGGTACATATCTGCATTGTCAGCAGCCACAGTAGTAAAGGGGACCTAGCTGTGCTGCCTTTGCCACAAACAATTCAGAGCTATAAATATTCGTGAGGTGATTAGTTAGTGCCTTAAAGAGTAGCCTAGATATTTCTGAAGATCTTATGCGTACTTTCATACAGCTCATACCCGTAATCGGCATCTAAATCCTGGCTTCTTCGTAATTATAGAGTCGATCTTTGTAGCAGAAAATCTTCTCGCTAAGGGCACTATGCTGCCACAAATAATAGGTCGTCCTAAACGAAACCGATCCCTTTACTAACCAGTGAATCGGAATCGCGATCCTTCCAACTCTCCCAAGCCGTCTCGAGGCGCGACATATCTCCTTCTGTACGTATTGGTGAAATCTTGGAGGATCGAGCGTATTTGTCGAACATCGCCTGTGTCCTCGGTACTGAACTTTTCTTTGATCTTGGCCATAAGACGATCGACTTCCACCGAGGTGACGGTTCCCGGAGGCAGTAACCGAAGTGTTCGGTCCACCCACGTTGCCGTTTGGTTCGGGAATATCTCGAACAATGTGAGGAGGGCCCCGCTCGCGTCGGCGTAGCAATCCTTTGGGAAAGTGATCATCATACCAGCGAGCAAGCGTTTGACCAACGTCTCTCCTTGGACTAGTAATAGCTGCTTCACGATATCTCTGAGGTACTCAACGCCTGAGGCTGAGAGATGCTCGTTGGACGCCGGTGGGTATGTAGTACCCCATCCAAGGACGTCGCGAATGTAATGGAGAGTAGCAGATAGGGGTTCCCGCTGCTGGAGGACAAGGACGGAGAAGGACGCTTCAAATACCGGAGCAAATAAGGCAGACGGGATAAACTTCTGAGGGTAGTATAGAAGTCCGTCGACCGCTAGCCGGAAGAAGTCTTCCGTAACGTCCGGAAGATCCTGCGGTGGCACTTCGGTAATGAAACGCAGAACGTTCGTCGCCTGGGCTTCAAAGAAGACGTAAATATGTTCTGTCAGAGCCGAATCTACGTGCTCTCGGTCATCAGAGAACTCCCGCAAGATTGCGCCAGTCACCCATAAGAAACAGCCTTGTTTAGACGTAGCAAATCCACTTGCTAATTGGTTTGCCATATCAGGGAGAATAGGTGCCATTGCTCCTCTATGGGATATCACCATGAATCTCCAGCATCGACAGACTCTCTCGCATATAGGAGGGAAATCGAGGAAATTGTCGAGTACTTTGGATAGTACAGGGAATACTTCTTGCCAATATTTCACAGCGGGATCCTCCTCGCCGCGTTCAACGGGGGGAAGGATCACAACGTTTTGCGCGAAGAGAGTGATCAATTGTAAATGATCAGCCACCGCTATCTTCCCCTCATTGTCCGTTGCGTTGTTAGCTTTTGTCATCAGCCTTTGGATCAGGGGGTCACAGAAAAGCTTCAGAAGTTTGTAAATTTCCGCTTTAGGTTGTACGGATACGACAGTCGCAACTCCATCGGTTATCTCTTCTTGGCTCAGCTCGGGAAGTTTGTCTAAAATCACGTTGTAGAACTCTTGTAGTTGGACAACCTGTTCGCTTAGAAGATGCTTGCAATCCGTGCAGAAATATTTGATGGCCATGGCGGCAGCGCGTACAATTTCTTTTGAATCCGTAGCGAAAGAGTCGACAATATAGTTGAATTGGGGATGTAGGAAGTCTGGATGTGCTGCGGTCCACTCGGTGTATCTGCCCAAAATCATAATTGTTGCGAATCGCAGCTTCTCATGAGCAGGCATCTGGACAAGAAGTGGCATGAGTTGCGGCAGCACGGTGTTTTCTTCTTTGGTAACCATACGGCCCATAGCTCTCATAGAGAACAATGGCGCTTCCAATTGTTGCCAATGAGGAACCGAGGCACCGTTTGCTAGGCTCGCGTATTTTGCCATCCAGATTTTGATGGAATCGAGAACTTTTGCGAGGCACTCGGAAACGCCCATAATTTCGCAACAGTCTTTCAGAGTGTCACCCATAAGATGTCGGAATTCACGGAACTTTTCTTCCGCCTCCCTATCCCCGTCAAATAAATCCTTCTCGTTGCCTGACTCCGACTCAGGGTACTCTAGATGCGTAAGCAGGATATCCACAAGCTTTGCATAGACATCTAGAAGTTCCACACGAGCCTGTATGTACTTCTCCAATACGAGATATTGTTTAAGGTCGTACCAGAAGTCAAATGTGAATTCGATGACTTCTCTATCTTTATCCCTTGCAGCACACTCGAGGATAGCGTCGACCAAAGGCCTGAAGTGGGTAGGTTCTCGAGCAATGGCAACAGCCCATGAGGACCCGGCCTCTCCAAGCAACTTAGTGAGGGACTTGTAAGATTCGGTATCATCTTCATCAACGAATTTTTGTATCTTCGGTCGTAGAGCGATGATTCTTGGTAAAAGGATTTGGATGGTTTCGATGTTGTCGTCAATTTCTCTAGTCTCCCTGATCATCGTGGAAATGCAATCGGCGGCAGCCTGGAATGATGAATCACTTTCGAGGGCATTGAATACGATGCTTAGTAGTGGAGATTTGACGACGTCGCTGATGGGAACTTCACGCAGCCACGACGTGATGCAATCAAATAGCTGGGGGTTCGTTGCAGCAGCCGCTATTTTGACACATTAGCCAAGCAAATTCATGAAAGGAGACGCTGACCTTACGGGATGAGTGGGCGTAATTTATCAAGAGCTGCACCACCTGAGGCGCATTTTGTTCTAGTAGTTCACTAGTTCTTTGGCTGAGTTCTTCGTCCTGTAAGATAACCGATTAGACTACCAGTTCACCCCATTCCGTAATTACCACGAAATGCCGCCGGAGGAGAAAATGGGAACGGTTGATGTTTAGGTATCGATCCACGTACTGTTAGAGTGATTTTGCGCCCTTCGGTTACTTCTTCCGGCAGGACTCTGAGAAAGTCCAGAATGCATGCATGGCTCTCGACGTCATCGCCAAGCGAAGATACTACGACGGGTAGGACATCTTTCCATTCCTGCATCTGTATAGCTAGAATTGCGAGGCACACGCAAAGTTGCACCCTTATCGGCTTCGGGCCTGGCGCAAAGCGTTTTAGGAGCGCAAGCAGCTGGGTTCGCACGGCTGGGACCTCGGAAGCGGGAACTTGGGTTGAGAGGTCATACGTAATCTGGTTTTCGGCGTTGTCTAGTTAGCTTTGTTATGCGGTTTAATACTCAGTGGTGTTATGAGACCTGCCTTTCCTCTAAGTGTTGTTGCAGCGAATAATTTGACATCCGCCTCAGCATTCGACTGTAGTATCGTGATGGTGGTAGTCCATGCTACCATCTACAAACCACATTAGTACCGACAATAATCAAGAAGGATAGATAGAAGTAGAAGGTAGATATGTACTAACCGACTTCTGGAAGAGCTCAAGATATTCATGAGCCTCCTTTTTTTTCTTCTCGTTGAGCCCACCCCGCATTGCCACCATAGCCTGAAGCACCCCATCTAGCCCAAAATCTTGTTGCGCTTCGTTTGAAGCCATGATGCGCAACTTATTGAGGTCGGATAAACGGCCGTGGGGTGGGTACGCAGGTCGACGATAGCAACAGCAGCTGTCGCGAGCCGTTGGGGTAGGTCGCAAGGATTAGATTAAACGAAAGAAGGCGTAAGGAAATAAGGACTATAAATGAGATGGTGTTGTAGATGCACGACGCTGAGAATAAATGCACCAGATCAGGTTATGTTTAAAAAGATCCAAATATTACGAAGGGAAGTTTGTAAAAAAAAGGACAAATTATTGGTGTTTCGAGTTTCCTGAAGAAACTCTCTGGCTGCAAAAGTTACGTGTTGGCGTACAAAGGAAAGAGGGGCCCAAGAAAATAAGAGAACGTCAAATTACTGCTTTGCGGTTGCCATGTGAGCCTGAGAAAAGTATGGAGCTGGTCGTATTCTGTGGCTTGACATGGAGGGGTTATCTCTAATTGTGGCGTGACCTTAGGAATTTTATTGGGCTGGAGCTTCTTTTTAAGCTAAAATGTGTACCCACCTACATAGATACCTAGATACTTATTTCGCACCTTCCATCAGCCTAGGGTCTAGCCAGTCCCATCAATGGAACCTATTGCTTTCAGCCTTCTTTCTACCTCGCTGGATTTTGTTGTGAAAACCAGCCCGAACCAACAACACGTCCTAGGCCCTTCGCGCGCACGATTCCGCCGCACTTCACACCACATTTGCATCTAATCGTCGAATCGATCGGACTAATCTAGGCCAATTTTCCTTCAAAAAAAAATCAAAATGACGGGTCGTGGTGGCGGTGGTTCCCGCAAGATTCTACTACCACCCATCAATTTTATTTTCAAGCTTCTTCAGACACATGCGACCGTCAAGATCTGGTTGTACGAGCAGCTGTCAATCAGAATCGAGGGAAAGATCAGAGTACGCAACAAATAATTCCCTTTTACTATCTTGTTTGCTTTTCTGTCGCTAATAGTTGTGCACACAGGGTTTTGACGAATTCATGAATCTCGTCGTTGACGATGCGGTCGAAGTAAAGCAAGTCACAAAAACAAACCCTGAAGAAAAAAGGAGACAGCTTGGTATGCATCCATGATATGATCTGACCTAGGTATATAGCTAATATGACCTCAGGACAAATTCTACTCAAGGGCGATAACGTGTCATTGATCCAAGAAGCTGTATGAGGTGGGACGAGGAACAAATACTCCAACAGGACGGAAATTGGCCCACGAGGGAGTTATGTTTCCATGCATAATTATAAAATGATACCACCGAGGATAAACAGGGACGCTCAAATACGGTCGGGGCGTACTCATTTTAGTTTGCGTCGTTGCATTTCGCAGACTCTTTGATTTGACCATCCCCGAGGAAGAGGCCATCTATCGGTTGATCGTGGGGTCCAACGGGCACGGATTCTCCTGAAGATGAGGAAAGGAATTGCTCCTTCAATGCTAGAGCATATAGCAATACAGCTGGCCGGCCATTTAAGGACATCTGCTCGGGCGAAGTAGCCAATGTGTATCGATGAAGGAAATAATCGTAAAAACCCTTGCCGTGACCTAGTCTTCGAACAGCTTGAGAATTGGGGTCAATGTCGAAAGCAACGCCAGGCAGAAGAATTAAATCCAAAGAGACATCTTCAGACTTATCCCCGCCAAGTTCACCCACACTCCGCTTCCTTTCATGTACCGTAGCAGCATCAATACTTGGAATACCCCACTTGTCTCTTTGCAAAGATTCGTAGTCCTCGATACTCTTTAGACTCACCATGTCCATCAGCCTAGTCGGCCCGTCGCCCGGTCGCAACCTTGACTTATGCAAGTAAGGGACGAATACCTGTTTACCGGACGATATAGCATGTCTGACAATGGGGTCTGTTTGGATCTCTCCACCTGGCATGGACAGGTAGACCGCCACTCTCTTCGCATCCACGTATGGCTTGAATTTGGATAATGAGTCGAAGACTTTTATGCCTACTTTATAATTAACACATGCTCATATGGCACGTATAAGTCATGCTATGTTGTAAAACGGACTTACTCTGAGAGGTAATAGATTCTTGTGAGAGACTTGCTAGACGCTGCTTCATTAAAGAGCGAAGCTGTGTCTTAGCAACACTGAGGCTGGATGAATTCATTTCTAGTCCTTGCGACATATTCTCAGAAGTGGTAGAGAGTACAAGGAATTGCTATCCATGTAGCTATGTGTCATGAACTCAGATCCTTCATCGGGATGGCCCGCGTTCGTTGTGCTTGTTATCCAAATTATTTCGATAGCTGGAACAAATTGAGGGCCGTAATCAATCGATTCGGAGCTAACGGAGACCGGTTTCTCCACTAAATTACGGCATACTAGAGCTGGGAAGTCGAAAAAAAAAACCTGCCAACTTAATTAAAAAATCCACCTATGTGCAGTCTTAAGTGCTCTTACCTACATGAATTTTACGTTATAAGTGATGTTATTGATGTTTATCAGATGGGCAGTGTTAACCCTAATGTCGATCGGGTGCTCCTACTACCTATTAAATTAGTACCAACTCGTTATCACTTCATGTATACTAGACACTTACTGTAGGTGTCTAAGTACCTACCCTAACTTTCCCATTTATTATTATGCAGACAGGTGGATTTTATGACATCTTACTCGTCGGTCTTTCCTTTTCCTAGTATTTAACTGGAATTATCTAGGTACATATATATACATACATAATATTATACGAATACCTCTTCAAATTATAAAACCCACCATCTGTCCCCATCGTATATGTACAGTACATACGAGTCATCATTATCTTTTTAATCTAATCCATCTCAATCTAATCAATCAATCTTTTGATCGTACGACTGTGTGATCAACTACAGAGATCCACTCAAGCGAGGGATAATTAGTGGTTAACCTAGCACCTGCTGCCTATGTCCCATCCGCTCTGCATGACAAGTTGGGCGAGCTGCAGCATGCTGATGCTACTAGCAGTTAGTGTCTCCGACGCTGTAGTCCCTGTAACATGGGCAGCATGGGTCACGCCCGCCCACATCCGACTTTTTTCTTCCCATTTTCTTCGTTCCCAAGTTCTGTCGTGACACCAAACTTAGCCCTTCTTTAACCCTTCTCTACGCTGTGGAACAAACGTAACTTCAGCACCTCCAGGTTTCTATACGAAATATTTATTGGTTCTATAAGGAATCCCCACAACTAGTACGACTTTAAAAAGGCAGGGATCCTAGATGTACACACATGTAGGACTTAGGCAGTATAGGTATCATTGCATACACGTGCATACCTAACCTAATCTGACCTTACATGTATGTACATAGGTACATAGGTAAAAACAGGCAGGGAACCTCGGATACCAACGCTTCACCTCCACTCTTTTCCGTTCGGCGTCAACCTTCTTCAGTAGGATCCACTCATTAGAGTACTGTAGGTACCACCAATGACCAACCTAATTCATGTAAATCTAGCCCTGAAGGTTTTCTACCTAGGTAGGCATCCTGAATGCTCCTTCCCGCGTGGGATGGTATGACTTCCACAGCTGCAGCTACGTAACAGTAGACTAAAAACTAAAAAACTATGCCAGCGATTTCCTTAAAAAGCAAGGATGATGGATCGCTTACGCCCCTGGACCCCCATAATGTCCACAATGACTACTCACAAATCTTCCCATTACAACCCTTAGCTATTACCACTTCTTCTACTACTCTTCCTGATACTGCAACCAGCTCCGCCTTACCCGCAAGCCTAGTCAAGGTCTCAAACCCCACGTCGCCAGCCTCCTACGATACAAATATTGCCGCTTCCTCGTCAGATTCGACCCAAGACCTTTCTACTAGAACTCCTCGCTCCCCGTCGAGCACGAGCCATGAATTCCACCAAACCGAACTCGACTTCCAGGCTAATCCCAACCCTGCCGTTGATAGTCGAGGATCAAGGATCATGTCAAAAGCACCCCTCTTGATTCGCTCTTCGCCTGGGTTCGGAACAGGTTCCTACGGAGCTGCTCCTATCCACCCTGAGATCACGGACTCGGATAGTGAAGGTGATGTCTCAACATCATCTCGCCAAAGACGGTCCAACACGGAAACCTCCAACGCCAGGCGACGTCACTCTGCTAGTGCCGGTCGCTCTGGAACATTCCGAACAAGCACATCGTCTCTAAGTCGAAGGAGAAAAAGCCAATCCGAGGAGATTGGAGGATCTACTGTGGCAGATGGCCTCGATGGTCGTTCTAGTGTTAGCGAGAGACCTTTAACGAATGATTTGGCATCGGATACGAAGTCGGACGACTCAACCGTCGACGATGAGGATGGCCTCCACGACGCGAACGAAGGAGCCGACTACGACCCTCCTGATAATTCTCCCTACGCTCAAGTCCGTGCTTCAGTCTCGCCAATCGATAATACGGCCCTTTCCATAAATACACCTCGCATGTGGTTTCTATCCACACTATTCTCTATACTTGGTTCTTCTACCAATCTCTTCTTTTCCTTGAGATACCCTAGCGTTTCCATTACACCAGTCATAGCGTTACTTCTCGTCCACCCACTTGGTCTCTTGTGGGATTATATTTTGAAACGACCAGACGACCCTCCTGAGGAGTTCGAGGATGGCGTGCGAGTAGATGACTTATCCTCATCGTGTAGCGACGGCCAGAGCTCCACTGCTCTTAAAGAGAGAGGCCGCGCGACACGCCTCCGCCTTTGGTTGGCTCAAGGTACTTGGAATGAAAAGGAGCATAGTTGCGTATACGTGAGCAGCAATGTGTCTTTCGGGTTTGCGTTTGCGACGGATGTCATTGTTGAACAGACACAATTTTACAAACAAGATGTCGGCATTGTCTATCAGCTCCTACTCACACTTTCAACACAAATTTTGGGGTACACTTTTGCCGGCCTAGCAAGACGGTTTTTGGTACGCCCAGCCGGAATGATCTGGCCTGGTACACTGATGTCTGCTGCTATGTTCACCACACTTCATAAAGAGGAGAACAAACCGGCGAATGGATGGAGCATCAGCAGGTGGAAGTTCTTTTTCATCGTCTGGATATCAGGTTTCTTCTTCTACTTCCTTCCCGGGTTACTAATGCCAGCATTGAGTTATTTCAATGTGATTACTTGGTTCGCTCCAGATAATGTTGTGGTCGCAAATTTGTTCGGAGTCGCCTCTGGCCTAGGTTTGTTTCCTCTTAGCTTTGACTGGGCTCAGATCGCCTATATTGGTTCGCCTTTACTCACCCCCTTCTGGGCCGCAATGAATGTCATCGGTGGACTGGTAATAGTGATGTGGATTATCGCACCAATTGGATATTATTGCAATCTATTTTATTCGTCTTACATGCCGATTCTCTCAGCATCCGTCTTCGATAATACTGGCAAGATTTACGACGTCAGCAAAATCCTTACGGCGGATTTCTTATTCGATAGAGAAGCGTACTCGAACTATAGCCGTGTATTTCTACCGATAACCTATGTTCTCAGTTATGGACTTCAATTTGCGGGGTTAGCATCCCTCCTTACACATACTACTTGTTGGCATGGCAAGGATATTTATGTTCAATGGAAGCGCTCCCTACAAGAAGCGGATGGAGAGAGTAGGCCAGCATATCAGCCACTCGAGAGCGAAAGCAATGGGGATACTCCTAATAGGGATCACCCAAGCATCACGAGATCTAGCTCTACTTTTGACAACATCTTAAGTCACGAAGATGTCCACAATCGTCTCATGAGGAGATATAAGGACGCACCCATCACGTGGTATCTATTGACCTTCGTCTCAATGACAATAATCGGTATCTTCGTCGTCGAATACTATCCTATCCATTTGCCGTGGTACGGACTATTACTCGCTTTGGGGATATGCGCTGTCTTATTTATCCCGATAGGCATCGTGATGGCCGTGACAAATCAACACAGCTCGATTTACCTCATCTGCCAACTCATATGTGGTGTTGTCTTTCCTGGGAGACCTGTCGCTAACATGGTTTTTGTAACCTATGGCTATATATCGTCTGCTCAGGGCATTAAATTCGCGGCAGACTTGAAACTTGGCCACTACATGAAAATACCGCCGAGGCTCTTATTTTCAGTGCAAATGGTTGCGACGATCGTCTCGTCGGTCACACAGATCCTTGTACTCAATTGGATGTTTATTAACGTCCCGGGTATTTGTACACCCTCGGCTATCAATGGCTTTACATGCCCGATCGCCCGTGTCCATTTCAACGGGTCGATTTTATGGGGTGTTGTCGGCCCAGCCGAATTCTTTGGACCCGGTGCGACCTATCGCCCTTTGGTATGGTGCTTCTTAATTGGAGCAGTCGCTCCGATCCCTCTGTGGTTATATGGCCGTAATAAAAAGTCGAGCATCGTACGGAAGATAAACCTTCCTGTCCTGTTTGGATCGCTAAGTTGGATCCCGCCAGCTACGGGACTCAATTTTTCGGTTTGGGCTGTCGTTTGCTGGGTCTTCAACTACATGATTAAGAATCGCGCGTCGGCTTGGTGGGCAAAATACACCATGACTCTCAGTGCCGCACTTGACTCAGGCTTGGCGTTTGGTATCGTTGTCGTCTTCTTTGGCTTCATTTATCCAGGTTGGATGAAAGGATTCAGTTGGTGGGGAACGGATGTCTATAAACAAGGCTGTGACTGGCAGGCATGTTCATACAATACGGTACCTAACGGCTCTCATTTTGGTCCAGATAAATGGTAGATTATGGCATATCTTAGATTTTGGTCATGGGATATATGTGACTTCGCAGAGATGATGGGGAATTAGCGAGACGTAAATCAGCGTCTAAATACGAACTAGAATCTGGATTTGGTTACACATATCGATAGATTCTACAATAGCAATTTTAGAGCATAAATAACACTTGAACAATACATGACAGTCTCTTATATACCTAAAGAAAAAGCTTAGGAGTTATGCGTATTGGTTATATCCTTATGTGTACTCGGATTTTATCTACGCTCAAACTAAATATATGCATTAATATTTTTACAACATCTCACCAGTCATTACTTATTGATACCTTATATTCTTCCAACATGATTTCATGCTTGCCAGACTAATACAATAACCGAGTCTACATCCGATGGCCCATCTTGCGTATGTATCGTATCGTCTTCAGGCAATCGATCATCCTCATCTCCGTACGTGACGGGTGATCCCTTTCGCTTGACGTAAGCTTGCCAGACGGAATTACCATCAGATCCCAGGCGTGCGTCGAGTAATCGCCATGTACGCTTCGTTCCAGCCCACGAGACAACTTTGCGATCGCGTAACCATTTTTCAGAGTCATCTTCTCGGTCGAAAACCAGACGGTCGCCCGTCTTCACTTTTTTGTCTTTGGAATCGCTACTATCCAGCTGCTGCGAGCTTTTAGTCACGGGCAACACGTCTACGCCGTCTGGGTACTGCGAGATTGTGTGTCCGTTTACTAGGATCCATCCGTCCTCCCGGAAGAAAAAGCGCTGTAGAAAGCAATCCTCGCCGCAGAGCGAGGTTATGAGATGCGCTTTGTTAGGTTCGAAGCGGTGTCGGTGCTTGTAGTGGTGCAGGGAGAGGGGTTGAACGCCCCCTTCGTAGCCCGTGCGGAGACCGTAGAGGTCGTCTCCGGGAACGTAGAGGCTGGGAAGAATGTGAAGTTTCTCAGAGGTATTCTCGGTGATGCAGGTATATAGCGCTTCATCCCATTGGCCTATTTTCTCTGCTTGGTGCTTGGTGTCTCGCGCCGTAGCGTTTAGACACCGCAATTGCGAAACACTGTCCGCCATTGGGGGTGTTAAGAATACGGCACCACCACCGTAGGTCAGTGTAACATTATTCCCAATTATCCAATCTGAGCGCTCGCTAGGCACACCTAGATAGGCTTTCTTTTTAGTATTGAATTTTCCTAGACGAGTCAATAGCTTCCCTAGAGAAGAAAAGAATACGTCGTCATCCACTAGAGCTAGGAATTTCTTCTCTTCCCCTTCTTTTAGTAACTCGTCTTTGCGGTTCACAAGTAAGCGCACTAGGTCCAGATATCGTGCCGTGCTGTCCTCCGCTGGAAATATCGCGACCTTAATGCCTAAGTCATGCAATTTAGTCTCGATATGGCTCATCTCTGAGCTGAGGGCGCTATGCAACGTAAGGATTAGGCTGGCTCCATTTGAGTTCCCCTTTCCATCGGTGAGCCACCGTGCCCAGTCGTGGATTAGAGACGAATTTCCGTAGAGTAAGCGATCGTACGAGGTTGAAATGCCAAATAGTAATGACGAGGCGTCTAATTGATCTGGCGTAGCTGATTTGGTCACTGGGGTGGTTACAGGCCCTTCTGCGTGTAAATCGAGATGTTCATCGTCGGAGCGGACTCTTTGGAAATCTCGGGGCATAAATTTAACAGTCGGGATTTCCGTCATGCTGCTTTTTCTAGCTTTGGAATCAAAATCCGGTCGTATCCGCCTCGCGAACCATGGGACATCGTTGGTGAGTCCATATTGCTGTACCAGCTGTCTTAGATAGATGCTTTCTTCAGATAATGGCCGAGTGATTCCAGTTTCATTCTGCCGGCCACCCCTCGTTTTCCCATCAGTGTATTCATAAATGCTCGGAGGCGGGGGTTGCCGCTTGTACAACCTGAGCGTCGATAATAAGATACAAAAGACAAGAAATGAGGCGAGGATTTGGAATGTCCGGACACGCCCGTAAGGGGCGAACGACCGGAACATGACTTTAGAAATGATTACAGGCGTTTCGAAAATAAATATTATGAACGAGTGTAAGAATCCAACACGAAACTCATTTATGATGAAATGTTTAGAGGCAACGAATGACTTGGATTGGAGGGGTATTTCCTTGTAAGGGATTCATGCCAATGACCGCCCGCAAACTTCGTTATCGCAGAGACGCAAGTACATATATACCCTAGGTATATATGTAGATTGTAGATTAATAGTACCTGGCTGCAGTTACTGTTTCGACTGCCTGGACTTAGAATTTGGGATTTGGGACTACATATGTAGCTGTTTGTTGTCATCGCTATTGTCACATTTTCATCGTGGGTAGCGTGGGTACAAGTTCTTCGAAGTTGTAACAATTAAGAAATAAATACGAAGGGGTAAGAAGGAAGAATTTTGAAGATGATAGCAATCATCACTGACCTTGTTTTTACTGACATACCTATAATATAACCCGCGTCATGCCAGTGGGAGGTATAACATACCTAGGTACTGTAGAAGGGTAGATAACAGCAGCCTACCCCTATAGAATTTAGGGGAGATAACGAACAAAAGAGCCGATCTCCGCATAACTATTGGAGCAAAGACTCCGGCTGAAATGCCCTAGCTCCTTAAGATTACTTGCTTTTAGTATGCATCGAGACCGCTCTAGTTCGCTGCATAGTAACCCCCTGTTGAACCCCTGATTAGAAGAACTCCGCATCCTATTCGGGACCTAGTACCTAGCTCTAAGCAAACTGCCTTCACATCGTACCATGAATTATGAATTTATGGTAGCAGAAGAATGATGGACCTGGAAGTCAATTATAACATTAGGTAGACTGCCTAGGCACCCTGCATTAAACGCACCACCAACATCCATCCTCCACAGATATAATGGCTATGAATGGACTTTTTGCTGCCATGTTACTTACATAGGTAATTTATAGCTCCAACTGTTAAGATGTTGGCTTCATACACCCTCCAACCATTACCGTGATAATTGAATCCGAACCTGATTAAAAACAAGGCTAAAATATAGTGCTCATAGAAGAAAAACAAGGTAGGATTCCGAATTGCGTCTTGATTAACGGAAATACTTTTCTCAGGATGATGAGGTCGAACCCTATATCGGAATGATATAACAATATCGCAGTAATCGGCTTTACTTCTTTGGTTCAATCGCCTTCGAGGCTCTAGTGCCAGATACTTTGCTGCTGGCGGGTGCAGTAGCGTAGGATGCTGGTATGTTGTTTTGGACTGTCTGCCTGGCGTCTCGGAACATATCAAAACAAGAGGCGGTGGCTTCGTTGATATCTTGATCTGCGGGCACGAGAGCTGTGTCGACAATGGACTTCATGTGTTCTTCGAGCTTGTAAAATTCATTCCTATCCGAGCGGTACCTATCCGGTAGGCCGCTGTTGTGTAACAGGGCAAGGATTCCTCCGACACAAGTGTTGATCGCAGCAATAGAAGTCTACCTCGATGATTGCAATTAGTATTTAAACAATAATTTGATAAATTTTAGCATAGTCATGGGTGCGCCCGGTATGGGATGGCTTACGATTGCCGTTCCTTCTTTGTTCGAAGATGAAATTGATCCAAGGGCTGTCAAGACGGCACTCATTGCAATCTGGAGAAGCATCAAGATCCAGGTGACGGTGCTCACACAGTGAAACCAGTATGTAAACTTGGTCTTCTCAACGAGTACGTCTTGATACAAACCATCTCTAAACCCTTTTGGCGGCCACCATCGACTGGTTGGACGAACGACCTCTTCGCTCTCATCGTCTTTGAATACACCGATGCCTCGGCAGAATTGGACCCATTCAGTATGAGACAGTAAGCGGTAGGTTTCTTTCCCTGGGCTTCCAGGCTTTTGGTGGACGCCGCCGGCATGTCCGTTGATTGACTTTGGAGAACCCGGTGCTGGCGGTGCTGGCTGCTGAGAGGCCATTGCGGTGTCAATATTGAGCCGTGGAATTGAGGAACGATAATGGCCGGAGTTTTTGGATGGGTAAATTGTAGCCGCCATCTCCAGAGTCTAGATGGAGTGATACTGATCCGTAGGAAAGATAAATGAGAGAAGACGGAGAGCCCGAGATTTAGGATATATTGAGGGGATGTCATTTCCAGCTACAATGGCTTCCACTTGGGGATGTGCTTGAAGCTACGACCGATATCCCTCTCAGGAGTCGAGGGAGCGACTCTGTACTATTCATTGTAACGCTCTCTCACTCCCGCAGAAGGTCGAATGAAAGAAAGGAAGACAATAGCTATTGAGGTAGCTGCTGACTGATTATACCTACTTAGACATCTAGAACTCCACTAGATAGAGCGAAGACCTGTATATTTTAAAAGGAGCACTTTCTTTGAATCGTGATATCTGCGCTCGTATCCTTGGGCAGATGACATTGGTTGGCGTTGCCATGTAAATCATCGTTTAATAAAGTGTAGGATGACTCTTGCATGCTAAGGATTGGGGAGAAAATAATAGCAAGTTCTTTCTCATATTTGGAAATTGAGAAGGGCTAGCATGTCAGAAATAAAGTCGTTACTTCTAGAATGATGTCTCTTGTGACTTCTATATTGATCAATTGATCACAACCTTAGATTAGAGGTGGACAAGATGAGATGAGATGAGATGCTGGAGAAGCTACGGCGTACCTTCGCCTGTTAATTATAGCGCTTTCTAGGTGGGGTAACCACCCTACAGGGGAGCTTATATGTACGTTGACCGCCCGGCAGAATGGAGCTAAGCTAGAGAGCACCCCACCTAAAGAAAAGATTACGAAAAAAAAAAAAAAAAAACTTGAATGCATTCACGAATATACCTACAACACGAGACAATTGTGTAATCTACGCTTTCGAGGCCTAATTGTATGCCCTTCACCCTTTCATACGCATCTACTCGTCTCTTTCTTAGGAATGTAAACCGATTTCTCTTTAAGCCGTGCCCTCTTCGAGCTGTGCACACCATGACTTCAGAAATTAAGAACGGCGCTTCCACTGCGACGGCCGAAATCCAGACTATAATACGGGATGGACAAGAATTCACCGAGGTCAAAGAAGGGTTGGCTCGAATTCTAGTTCCTTTCTCAACGAAAAATACTACGAAAAATAAGTTGAGCGACGTCGAAGAACAACAAAAAGTCTTTTATAATCCTATCCAACAATTCAATCGCGACTTGACGGTTCTCGCTATTAAAGCATACGGACAAGAGGCCCTAGAGAAGAGACGGTCTAACAACGCTGACAGGGCAGCAAAGAGGAAGCGCGACAAGTCAGACTCTGGCGCAGGCAGACAAAAGAAACAAGAGAGGATAGTAGAAAATGACGAAGGTGCAACATCAGGAAATGATGCTGCGAAGAATGATGAAGCTCAACCTATGGAAGTTGATGAACCTCCTTTGGGTGTACAGAACGGTCTAGATGCCAGCGTCGAAGGTTCCGGAAACACCAATGGCAAATCCAACACCAATCACGCAGAAGAAGATCTGCAAACAAATAAAGAACAAGAGACAAAATCTAGCGAACTGAAACGAGATAATCAAACTACAACTCCCAGATTCACCATCTTGGACGCTCTATCAGCCACAGGACTTCGTGCCCTACGATATGCACAAGAATTACCATTTGTCACGTCGGTTACCGCAAACGACCTTAGCCCAACAGCCGTTGAGTCCATCAAGAGGAACGCTGTGCATAATGGGGTTGAGTCTAAGGTGAACGCCACCTCGGGCGACGCCCGTGCGCATATGTACTCCCTACTTACACAGGAAGTTGCAGAAGACAACGTTAAAGGGAAACATCAAAACAAAAAAGGTGGTCCAAAGCCCAGCAAGAAATACGACGTGATAGACCTTGACCCATATGGAACCGCCGCTACTTTCTTTGATGCAGCGCTCAACGCTGTGAGAGACGATGGTGGTCTATTATGTGTCACATGTACAGACTCGGGCGTCTGGGCATCACATGGATATCCAGAGAAGGCTTTCGCTCTTTATGGTGGTACTCCTGTGAAAGGCTTTTATTCCCACGAAGCAGGGCTGCGCCTAATACTCAATGGCCTTGCCTCAACAGCAGCGAGGTACGGATTGGCAATAGAGCCCCTCCTTAGTCTGTCCATAGACTACTACACGCGAATCTTTGTGAAGGTTAGGAAATCGCCAGCGCAAGTCAAGTTTCTTGCAGGAAAGACCATGATTGTGTACAATTGCGATCAAGGATGCGGAGCTTGGGAAACACAATTCCTAGTTCGCAACAAAAAGACGCCCAATAAATCCGGAAAGGGCGTTTTCTACAAGCACGGGCTAGCTATGGCGCCAACAGCAGATAAGCAGTGTAAAGAGTGCGGATCGAAGATGCATTTAGCTGGGCCGATGTATGGAGGGCCATTGCACTCGCCCGATTTTATTAACAAGATATTGGATGATCTACCCAATGTCTCTGATGACGTATACGGCACGAAAACGCGAATAGAGGGAATGCTACATACTGCACTTGAAGAGTTTCTTCCGCCTCTGGAAGACAATCTACAAAGCTCCAGAGAAGACGAGTTTGCTGCAGTCGAGCATTATCCGTTCTTTTTTCATCCGTCCGGTCTTTCGGGTGCGATACACTGCATTTGTCCCGACGAAGACAGCTTTAGGGGCGCCCTACGCCATCTAGGCTATCAAGTCACCCGTAGCCATTGTAAGCCCGGTAGTCTCAAGACGAATGCGCCCTGGTCCGTCATTTGGCGCATTATGCGAGAATGGGTTCGTCAAAAAGCACCTGTAAATGTCGAAAAGATTAAAGAAACTACGCCGGCGTACACACTATTAAGGCTAGGCGAGAAAAATGAACCCACAGAAGGTGCAGAAGACGGAGACCACGATGTAATTGAGAAATTAGAGGTTGTGTTCGATCAGAAACTGGGGCGAGACAGCTCAAAGAGGGGTCTTGTCAGATATCAGACGAACCCTAGAGAAAACTGGGGGCCTCTGACTAAAGCGAGGGGACATTGATGGCGGTAGTTCGATCGTATAACAGGTATTTAGGAGTTATGAGGCAGGTTTGATGTCTATGAATGCGATGGCTGATTTTAGTACACTCAATGATACCCTTTTTCTATTTTCACGTTCGCTTTTGCTTTATTTTATACCACCTACAGTACGTCCACAGTACCTACCTAGGTAATAGTAAAAGTGAAAGATTACAAAACCTATTGCTATGGATAGCACCTAATATAGAACCCCCACCTGCTATTGACCAATCTTATAGCTTTTACGAAACTCCCTAACCAGCCTATTGGAATCGACCTATAAATTCAGGATTATGCAATGAGACCAATTCAGCACACCATGTGTGCCCTGCGTCCCTGGTGGGTGGCTCTCGCATTAGTTCAGCGACCCGGAGGACGTTTAGAATCATTCTATTTCTACCTACGGACCCGCACCCAGTCATCAAGCTAGCCCTTTCTCAGCTTCAAGTTGCTGATACCATTCAATCGTTTCCTCTAGTATGACTTGCTTCCATTTTTCATGACAAGTTAGCTTATCAAAACGTATACAACTTCGAATATAAAACCCAGAAAATAAAACTACGAATGATTCGTTATATAGGACTTCAAAATGCCTACCAATAACACCGATGGTATCTCCGGCACCGGACGAATCGAAGCAGGCGACGGCCTTCGTTCCGTCAAGGCCTGGGAAATTGTCCTCATCGCGAAACAGGCAGAGGAAACAGAGGAATCTAGTTCATACGATGTATTCAGTTTGAAAGAAGAAACCGGAGAGCAAGGGCCATCGTTTAAGTTATTGAAGTCCCGACTTGCAGATGTACCATCGTATTTGTTGGATGATCCCTTAAGTGGGGAGATCCCAGAATACCTGCGGAGCGGACCGTCGCGACATGTTCACATTGTCATATCGACGGGTTCCGGCACTGGTCTCGCCTTAAATTTTTACAATTCCGCTCTTAAGCCTTTACTAGAAAGCCTAGGTGTTCTCCCTTTAGAACCATCCGCCGACTTAGCGGATCGCTCGAAACCGAAAAGTTACAATCTTGTCATTACCCAAAATGCCGATACTGTGCGCGACTTCGCTCGAGATATCAGCAGCACAAGTCGGGGTGCCTTGCAGCATACTATTGTCTTACTAAGCGGCGATGGCGGTGTAATTGAGATGCTCAATGGTAGAGCACCGCTAGAGGAGGCAGAGGGAACAGAGGGAACAGAGGTAGAAGCCCACCTACCCCTAATTGCGACACTGCCCTTAGGTACTGGGAATGCACTTTTCTACTCACTGCATAAATCTGTGGGTGCGATATCCGAGACAACGGCTCCCTCTGGCCTTGTCCAAGGCTTGCGAACTTTGTTCGGGGGAAAGGCTGCACCGCTACCTTCTTTTAAAGCCGAATTTTCCCCAGGCTCTCATCTTATCGCTCCCGGAAGTGCTGAGGATGGGATCGACCCTGATTCCAATAATGTATCCCATCTTTACGGGGCTATCGTTGCTAGCTATGGTTTTCATAGCCAATTGGTGTGGGAGAGTGACACTCCGGAGTACCGAAAACACGGCGCTAAGCGGTTCGGTATGGTTGCACAGCAGCTTCTGAAGGAGAGCCACGCGTACAATGCTATCGTTGAATTGGCCGCAGAAGATGCTTCTCGGTTACAAAAGCTTGACCGAGACCGACATGCATATATCCTTGCCACAATGGTTTCCAATCTGGAGAAGACGTTCACAATTTCACCGGCCAGCAAGCCACTGGATGGTAAATTGAGACTTGTTCACTTTGGCGTTGTTAGTGGTGAGAGGACTACAGAAATCATGATGAAGGCGTATGATGGAGGAAAGCATGTCGATTTGAGGTGGACTGATGATGATGGGAAGGAAGAAAAGGTTGGGTACGATGAAACTGAATTAGTTAAGATTACGACTCTAGAAGAAGATACTAGATGGAGGAAAGTCTGTATCGATGGAACTATAGTAGAATTACCCCAAGGTGGTTATATAACGGTGAAGAGGGAGAAGAAGCCTCACTTGCAAATTCTATTAGATCGATTAGTGGTTGGATAGACGTAGATATCACCATATAACTGGTAGTTAGTAACAGAGCGTATATATTCGAATAAGAACATTGAAATGTACTCGAAAGACTTGGCCCACGTATACATCTACATATGTACTGATACATTCCTGTAATTCATTAAATGTTGTACATGTACCTTCGACGACACGATGTACAAGTACGTACCGAACGGCGTGAGTCATTACGTAGATTTCTTGGGCTACATACATTGTAGCCAATCACGAATTGTGCGACTTATGATCAAAAATGATTCATCGGCGCTACTGCAGCTAACGATGCATCCCGAACGACGCCATCCCTCATCGCATAGATCGTATAGGTACCTAAGTACTTGGCCAAGAACAATCCATCAACAATCACATAGCCCAGATTAGACCCTTCCGTTATTTCTCTCATCTTTTGATAGAATTGTGTAATGCGGCTCAATTATGTACTGGTGCTAATATAAGGGCAAGATGGTAATCTATATATTTAACCCCTTTGTCGTCCTCAGCATGGACGAAATACGTTCTACCGACCACCGGCCATTGCGACGCCTAAATGAATCGTCACAATGACATCCATGGAAGCAGAGAGTGCCGCGACTATTCTATGTACCTCTACGCAGACTCGCTTCAATATCGGAACTCCTAACTCTCGCGAGGTACCGCTTACACACATTGCTATCAATCCCCATACAATCTGATAGAAATATAGTTAGATATTGAAGGTCTCAACATCACTGTTACGTCGGGATCCAAACCCGGTGCTAAAGGGAAAAACAAGGCAAAGAGCGAAGGCACCGAGATCCTCAACAATGCCAAATTGCGACTGAAGGCCGGTCAGCGTTATGCCTTGCTCGGGCGTAATGGGACCGGAAAATCAAGTAAGCTCATGTCCATAACATCCATATCATAAACCCATAACTGATACTCCATAGCCCTACTAAAAGCCGTGGCTGAGAAACTCATACCGGGGATACCCGAGGAAACCAGAGTGGTCATTCTACAGCAAACTGATGTTGAAGATTCTAACACTGATGAGAGACCATCCTCGTATACTACTGATAATAGTGGACCGACAGTTTTAGAGGAGGTTATTGAAAGGACCACAGCAAAATATGAAATCCAAAGGGAGATCGAAGGTTCTTATACCTCCCTAATTATTTGAAATTTAAAGCTGATGGATTGGGATAGTCTTATCAAGGGGGGTTGACGGTAGTGATTCCTTTGGCGCCCTCAGATCCTTCAGGAAAATTCACCACGATCGCCTCCAGAAGGAGTTATTCTTAAAAGACAAGGATGCGAGACTTCGTAGTGGCGCTAGAGGCATGCAGGCTAGAAAGGTTCTTATTGCGATGGAGAAGAAGGTTGCTGAATTTCAGACACAGTATGGCACTACCAATGTTGACGATTGAAAAGATATTACTAACACGAATATGAGGTACGAACAGAAGGAGGAAGACATCTCGCCCGAAACGCTAGCAAAAGAGACGAGCGAGGCCGTAGATATGCTTTCTGAGCTTCAACTCCAAGTCAAACCGTCAAAATTGGCGGATGTTGAATCTAAAGCAAAAAAGATACTTACAGGTCTTGGCTTCGTAGAATCGCGTATGGTGCAAACCGTGTCGAGCCTTTCAGGGGGTTGGAGGATGAGAACAGCTTTGGCGACCGTTTTGTTACAGGAAACGGATATACTTATCCTTGACGAACCGACCAATTTCCTTGACCTTCTCGGAATTATCTGGCTTCAGCGCCATCTCTCAACTATCGCCGAGTCTGCAGATCCTCCGACATTGATTCTTGTGTCTCACGACCGTGACTTCATCTCGCTCTGCACAGATTTACTAATAATTAAGGATAAGGAGCTGACATACTTCCACGGCGACCTTCCGATGTACGAGTCATCGCGGGCCGAGAAGAAGGCTTATCTCACGAAGATGGAGGAGGCGAAGGATAAGCAGAAAGAGCATATTCAGCAGACCATTCAACGCAATATACGTGAGGGTAAAGCGAAAGACGACCAGAACAAGATTCGGCAAGCCAAATCACGGCAGAAGAAACTCGACGATCGATGGGGTATGGAAGTCAGTGCAAAAGGCGGTCGGTTCAAACTCAATAGAGATTTGCCTGGATACCATTACACTAGCCGTGACGACATTGAAATCCCTCAAGAGGAGAAGCCCGTCAGTCTCTCGCTACCGGACCCACCCGAGCTGCGATTTCCAGGGTCTCTAATTTCGTTAGAGAAGGTCTCGTTCCGGTATCCAAAGGACCCTAAGACGAAGACAGTATTACAAGATGTGAACTTATCCATCGGTATGGGCGACCGTATAGGTATATTGGGTTTAAACGGAAGTGGCAAGTCGACGTTAATCAAGTTGCTCGTTGAAGAAATGAGACCAACGACGGGTATACTCACAAAACACTCTCGTCTGAAGTTAGGCTACTATGCGCAGCACGCTGTCGAAGAGCTTCAGAAAATCGGGCGCGCAGACCCGGACCTCACAGCTTTAAATCTGCTTATGAGAGAAGCTGAGGGTGAGTTAGATGAGGGAGAAGTACGGCGCCTATTGGGCTCCCTTGGCCTGCCTGGACGGCTTGCTTCTGATGTGCCAGTTCGTCGGTTATCAGGTGGGCAGCTTGTGAGGTTAGAGGTGGCTCGTATCTTATGGCGGCGCCCACATTGTCTAATACTGGATGAAGTGACCACGCATCTCGACTATGAGACCGTAAGCGCATTTCGAGAAGCTTTGCGTGAATGGAAAGGTGCCGTAGTGTTGGTAAGCCACGACCGGTGGTTCATGCGTGGAGTAGTGGAGGGATTGGGCGAAGACGAAGACGAAGCAAGTGATGAGGAAGAGGTAGACAGGGGCGGTACGACGAAGTTAACGAGGAGGCTAGTGTATAGGCTTAGAGCTGGGCAGATGAATGTCCTGGAAGGGGGTGTGCATGGGTTTGAAGATAGTATGGAGAAGAGAGTGAGGAAGATGGAGAATTTCTCCCATACATAACGGTCGTGTTAGGTGAGGAGTCTTGTGATGATTTGGGGGCCGGTTCGGTAACACTATTGAAATATATGCCCCTGTTTCAACATTGTGTCGAGGGAGCGGAAGATAACCGCGGTCGGTATATCTTAGACCGCACATAGTAAATACGGCGATGCGCATGTATGGATTATAATAACACCTATATAGTGTCCTAGAGATACGGCGTATGAGCGATAGGAACCCTAAAGTCGAGGCAAATAGATTACATAATCATGTTCATAAGAAAGGGGAAGTGGCCGATACCCACCAAACACAAAGCCATATCGAATTTAGATAGTAGACCACCCCGATCCGAGCCACCGAGTGGCGGCTGATTTCCATGTGTTTTGGTTTTTGTCCCAGCCGGCCGATTGACCTAGCCTTTAACCAAAACAATGTCGTTGGTAGTAAATTCGAAGGGTTTGAAGTCGCCGTTGAATGCCCCGGAATCCAGAACATTTCTCTGCGTTATTGCTATCGGCTATGCTTGATATTGCGACTCGCGATGCCATGTCGTAGCGAACCCTTCGTATCCATTCATTTAGTTGTTTCAATCATTGAATCCCTCATATATGTGATATTGAATGGGATGACCTCACTGGCGCTAGCCTTCGAATATTCAATTCCGATCGGCAGTCGTATATGGAATCGCTTTGTACGGCGGCATTCTCCAATCCAAAAACAACGTATATATTTTCCGACGACAGTGTGTACCTAAATGTTAGTAGTAAAGCGAAATAATGCGTTTGGGAAATAAGATAGCTTTTACCACCGGCGAATCTCTAATTACTTTTTCGTCGTAGAGTGAAGCTTGTCGTATCACGCTTTTATGGTCGCGAAGAACCAAGAGGTTCCATGTCGTATACCAGAGCAAATACGTCGTGAGATCCGTCGTCAACAGGTCGTCAGGGTCCTACTTTCAGCATTTACTTATATTTCCGTTTTTTTTTGCGATTCGAATATCCCATCTTCGTCCAAATTCCTGTTTCGATCACTAACCCATGACGATCGCCATCTCTTTATTGCGTAAGTTCGATAATTTCCTGGGAGACTCCTCGTCATGATTCGTTCGGTGATTTCTTGTCGATTTATGGTCTTCATAAGTGCTACAAACTATTATTATATAGCCTTGGCTCTCGTTGAGTTTTATTGTTTGTTCATAGATATATCAGTCAAAGCGCCTCGCGGTAGGCTCTTATTCGGCGTGGTTCGTTGTCACATCTCGAAAAATCGCCCTCGTCCTTTCTTCGTCGGCCGAAACTCATTTGCCCTCTTAAACCAGCTCGAGTAGAGTTCTCTCGAGTTCGAAATGTCTTCTCTGATGACAATTCGTAGAAGATATTCATCCTAAGTCAGTTGGTCCACGTTATAAGTTATTCGGTCGTCGTTTCGATGATAGTGGCTATTCACTCGTCGCATCCTCTTGATTTCCGGTGGGAAAACCAAGATAGGCTTTCTCGATATCATCTTTGGAACGTTTAGCGATATCCCGGGTCCTGAGCAACATCTGGTTCCATCAACCTTTTGACCACCTGACCACTACCATTCTCAACCCCTTCAATACTCGGCACCTTCGAATCCGATGGAGCGGTCCAAGTGCCATCGAAGTACTGCCTGGTTCTTTGATACCATGCCCGTTAATATGTTTTATTGCCTCAACTGTAAGTCGTAGATTACAGATATTTCCATTCCGCGTGGATCGAAGAGTTCGAAAAATGGGCTGGATATCTTCCTCCATCGAATTATATCCTCACTTTTGTAGCCATAGCCTTTAATTTAAGCATGTATCGTGATCTTATTTGGAAGATGCGGCGATTAGGAAGTGAATTCTTTTCTCGGTATCCTATAACGTCAAAGTAACGGGAGAGGGAGCTGGCGCTCATGTGTAATAATATGGATAATCGATATGGTCTTCGCGTGAATATGTCTAGGTAGTTAATCGAAGGCTTCGGGGCTCTAGCTTGAAGAGCCGTCCTATTTCGCTTAACAGAAACCTGCTTTTGTTTTAGAGGCGGTTTAAAAACGTCTTCCTTGGTCTGTTAGATATAGCGTTTGTCATCCACTCGTATTTTTAGATCGTAAATTACTCATGGCCTTGTCAAAGTGAACCGATGAGATTGGAATTCAGTAGCTCCAACTTATAATACTCCGGTACCTGCTGTCGAATTTTTTCGAGACCATGGCACCCAATATACCACTAATAATCGAGAGGTATGTTAAATATAGGATTGTTCGAAATTAACCTTTCCAAATCATTATATCGTAAATTTACTGAGATATTGTTCTTTTCGGAAATAAAAACAGAAAAAAAAAAAACGAGCGCAATCCATTGGTACCTGAAATGGCGCGGTTTGTGACTCTATGTTGGTGTCGGCTGGGTAGCGGAATACGGTATAAAAAGCTGTCAATGGTTACATAAACGGACACTGGATTTTAGAAACTCACAGGAGTCTGGAATGGATGAGATGTACCTTAGATATTGTTGGTTTGAAAAGAGTTGGCGTTTCCGAATGTCGATGCGTTTGCTCGTCGCTATCTCGCCATTAGGATTGTTCCTGGAAAGAAAAGAAAAGAAAAGTCCAGCCCCTGAATACCTAGGCATTTAAGAAACATAACATGAAAATATTACGGGCGATGATTAGGCTCGCCCACCTTCTCGGTATACCTACCTAGATATGAACAATGTAGGAAACCCGAGCTGCTACAACGTGGTCTTATCATCACCATTGTAGCCGAGCGCTTCTGTGAAGCTGGAAAGGACTTTGGGGCAGATGGTTGACTAATTGAGAGGTTGGCTTATTGGCCCCTGAGGAAAAGGGGCAATTGAGATCCACTGAGCAGAGTAAACCCAGAAGGCTAAGTGTCCGTTTCCGTCCGTGTAGTGCAGGAACCAGCATTCTACTATGCCATCTTCGATTGGGATTACTTGGGGATAATAGGTTACAAAGATAATCATAGCTCGACCTCTGTGTGCTCGCTTTCACCCATTTACCCCAACTATGAGTCGCTACTACAAGAAATGAATGGAAGTACATCTCTACAAGCCTGGGGATCCAGCTATTTTTCGGTTTGCTGCATACCAACCGTTGTGTGCTGACAGTTCTCGCACCAGAGCATTGCAGGCTAGGGGGTACAGTAAAAACGGTATGTATTAGATACTTGTTAGCAAAACCCTGTTAAAGAAGTCTCACAAGATCTCGGTGTAGAAGTGGACCCAATCACGAAAATCCATGTGCCAGTGGCTGTAATATACAGTATGCTGCGAGTGATGGCGGTGAGACGTAAGGAAGGTATGGAGCTTACAAGATCTCTCGGCTGTGCCCTTACATGCAGGGTTCTCCAGGAAATATTATACCGACCCTTTCATACATTTACCTACACACCTACGTGGGCCCTAACGGGATTCTAGCCTTGCTCAACAGGAAGATTGTATATGTCTCCGAGCAACTATAGGAAGAATAAAAAATGACGTGCTACAACCTTTATTCTCGGAGGAGGCTGACCTAATATGACTAACGAGAGAAGGGAAACTTCAGAATAGCATTTCCCTTCGGTAAGTGATATAGAACAAAGCAGAAAACTGAGCTAATATTCGTAATAACGTATGGTATCCTACGCGTTAACTAACGACGTCCAAGAGGAGAAGCGTTCGCCAAATCCGCTGGAGTCCACTACTACCCATCAACTACTAATTGGTACTTAGGTACTATCCTATCCACGTAGGGGCGACCTAGTACGGCCCTAGACTATAGATTCGCGTTGCGTAAACCCCTTCTGGATCAGATCGATCACGGAACGGAGTTAGCACGATGCGGCTAACGGACTAGTCTCCGTATACACAGTCGCCGGGGTAGGTATTAACGATCCCGGACAAGATAATTTCTGGTAAAGGTCTGCAAGTGATTTGAGCGGATGTTACAGCGTGGAATCTATAAAAGGGGGGCCATGTCCTTACTTACTACCTCATTAGGAGCCCCATATGAACTGAGCTTGAACTAACCTCATTTGATGTACCGGATTATGTACAGTTGTAAAATATGCACGGGCCATTATAATAGAGGCTATTATATAGTAGAGAGAGTTTATATGGGTGTCGAGCTTACGCCCGGGGACGGTTTTTCCGTTGCAATTCCTGCTTGGAACTCAGTGGCTGGAATGTTACACCATCACCCATCTTTGACATGTTGGTCAGGGGTATGAAGCAGCTGAGCCCAGTTTGATAAATAAAAAAAAAGAAAAAGAAAAAAAAGTGACCGTTTATTATATATGTCGAAATGATACATCACCACCCTCTCTGGTTAGACTATTCGCATTCGGAAGGGCGGAAGCATATGTGGCCTTTTTGAAGTTGCCGCCAGTCAGTTTTGGGTTCGCGTGCAAATGATTAAAAGATCGCTTATGTTTCGTTATGTGTCGGCAGCCTCCCTTTCTATCTGTCCGTGCCTACAATCTGCATGATAAAGCAGAAATCCTGCGGCAGTCTACGTCGAGGCATCAAGTTTTTCGAGATCTGTCTTGGCTTGTTAGTGACCACTGTACGATTTCGGAGTGCGACGTCTACATGCGCGCTATGTAGTAATGAGGTCCGTCCGCAACGGCTCGCTACCAAAACAGGACAATCCTGTCTTCCCTTAGGACGGGACGGGATGTAATGGCCAGGGTTCCATTTCACAGGCCTTGGCCCTCCCATCTCTAAGCATGGTATCATATGCATCATTCCCCAATATCCTACTGTATACGGTTGATAGCTCAGCATAGCAAAGCTGCGTTTCCCTCTCTGACCATGGCCGATCACAGGGATATCAATGATAGCATAGCCAGCGCCCCCGCATCTTCCTATTAGAGATATGATCAAGCCAACCCTTAAGGCTGATATAAGTCACACGGCTAGACAGTTATCCGATGCCTACGGCCATCATGTGTGTGGATTGCGCGTATCCCTACTAGTCCGGTCGAGTACCAACAGTCCAGTTCTTGCTCATCTACCGTCTGCTGTAGATGGGACGCTGACTAGGATCGACGAGATGTAGCATGCAAGTCATGTCGTTCCCGGGGGACTCGATGACCTGTATGAGGCGCTAATCACCTAATATCAATAGTCAAAATGTGCCATCGATTTTCATCAATAATGAGTTAATGATATCCCACATCTTGGTTGCGTCACCGGTGCCGTCCTACTGGCCTCCTAGGTGCCTATGGTTAAGTCTCAGGAACTTCGCCCCCAGAGAGACTCAAGTAGACCCAGGCTGAGACCCCCATCTACATAACACATTTCTGGTGATTATAATAGTTCTCCACATCCTATCTGAGATACTTACACGGCAAGATAGCCTCGTAATCT